GACAGGCTTCTTGGACTCTCTGAGCTTTAATCTTCTTCTTCCTGGAGTTAATACAGGCATTCCTTGTTTAACGACCAAGTTACATTCCTACATCTAACTGAATTGGTCATTAACTGAATTGGTTATTCAGAATACAGAAATGGTCAAAGGAAATTCCAACTTGATAACTTTGCTTTTATCTGCATTACTCTTACGTACAGTGCTGTAATGTACAACAAAACAAAACTATGGTACTGTACTGTATAATAAATCAGCAAGAATTATGGTGCTATATAAACAAGGGTACTATACCCAAAAGAGACATGGAGGCTCTATAAACAACATGTACAGGACTGTACAAAAAAAACCAGGTTGTAAGTCCGAACAATGGTTAAACATGCAGGTCATTAAGCAGCAGTTTTCCTCTCTGCCCTTATCGTGCTCTGCAGTTTTGCTGCTCCTGGGTGGAGCTTCTGCCAGCCCCTCTGAGTCAGCCAGGCTGAAGTCTGCAGGCTGCTGTGGAATCGCTGGGCCTCTGGTCTGCATCCCTCCACCAAGTGCTCAGCTGTGGGGGAGCTTTTTGTTGTGGCTGAAGCAGGGAGGGATTTTCAGAATTGCCATTGTGGAATCCTTGGGGAGGTAACTGAGTAACATTTTTAAGTGGGGAAGAATCAAGAAAGGCCAAGAGGAAGAATAAATAGTGGATTCAAATCTACCAAACTTGGAGCTTATATATAAGGGAAGTTATTTCTAATTATTAAAATTTTGGCAGATGGTAACACCAGAAGGAAAGGAAATGGAAACAGCTCCTATGAGAAGTGCTAGCTTATGTTTCTGTGATTTAATGGTTTCCCGTAACAATATGTAGCTATTTTTAAAGCAGATGAATGACTCATGGTATCCAGTACCAGTGATCCTCCTGGTGAGAGGACACGTGCTCAGCAGAGAGGGCAGGCCTGGTTTCAACTCGTGTCTCCAGCACTTAGCAGCTCTGTGACTTCAGCAAGTTATACATCTTCTCTGTTTCCCGGTCCTCTGCTCTAAGATGGATTGTTGGAAGCACAAATGGGTGATAATGAATGTATAATCATTAGTGCAATGGTCATCCATCCATGCCAAATTCTATTATTAAGTACCAGATTAATTGCTGTGTTTGTAAAATTTAATTGGAAACTCTTAAGGCCACAAATTTTCTGCTGGTTGCAGCTTTGGCTAGAACATACTTCTGCTATGCAATATTCTCATTGTCATTGTCTTTAAACAAGTGTTAATTATGAATTATTAAAATTTTCTTTGATGTGCATGTTACTTATGAGTGTGCTTATATATGTGCCTGTATGTGTGCTTTCAAAGAGAACTTTTTCTGTATTTAAATCTGAGATGCATTATAGGGAGGTCAAAAAATTGGACAGGGGGCTGGGGATTTAGCTCAGCGGCATAAGCACCTGCCTTGCAAGCAGGCGGTTGTGAGTTCAATCCCCGGTACTGATAAAAAGGAAAAAGACAAAAAAAAAAAATTGGACAATATGCCATTCTGGGCTTTTCTTTGTAATCTAGTATAAGTTAATTGCAAGTACCCCATGTATATTTGAAAAGAGCTATATTTTATATAAAACCAAATGTATTAATTTTATTACTCTAATATATATATATATATATCCACAGATACACACATGCGTGTATGTGTTTGTATATCTATATGAGATATGATTGAAACACAGCTAATGTTTACATTTTAAAAATGTATTACAGTCAAAGGCACATTGCCAAATTCCCCTTCGCTTTGTCTTTTTTAAAGAAATATAAAACTATTGACCACTGCTCACCATTATTTACAGTAAAGTAAACAATATACAGTAGGATAACATTCTGACTACCACAAAGTTACTTTCCTGACTTCTACTGAAACAGTAACCCAAATACTGAAAAGACTGAGCCAACATGGAAGGAACAAAGTGGGATTAAGAAAAACATGCAGCTCAGTAATCTAGATTACAAATTTGTTCACTCATTTATTCTAGCAGGTCCTAAACTGTGAACATCTCTAGCCACACAGTTGGTTTCCATGTGTTAAGTGTTAGACATCCACGAATCCTGACCTTTGGGTACAGATTTCAACTTGTAAAAGAATGAATTATGAGGAAATCGTTAAGAGTTGTTATTCACCACCTCGGATGCTTATGTACCAGGTCCACCTTATTTCACTGGACCTGGCACTGTGCAACTTATGAGGAAATCGTTAAGAGTTGTTATTCACCACCTTGGATGCTTATGTACCAGGTCCATAGTGTCTTAACAAGTCTTCCTCAGCTAGTTCAAGTAAACTAGATTGTGACTAGCTACCTTATTTGAGTGGGAAGTTGTTCATATGATAAGGATTTTTCTTTTCAGGAATTTTATATTTATTTATATACACACAAATAAAAAACTCAGAATTGTCCTTAAACCTGTGAGCTAAAACTGTGTCCTAACTGAGTTTGACTATGGACAGTTTTCCCAATATTTAGAAAAGCAAAGAAATGTATGAGCAATCATGTGGTTTTTCTGATAAAGGAAGCAACTAAAAAAGCTTTTATTTGTTCACATTATTGATGCGAAACAAAACCAACAACTGCCCCAAATGCTAACATATTAAAGTTGATTTTTATTAGAATGTTGTTTTTTTCGCACTAGTAAATAAAAAACCAAGGCAGACAGACACATGGTGTAAGTTATTGTGCTTTATTTTCTGGACAAAAAAGTCTCTCTTCATAAAAAGCAGTTACAATCTGAGGATGTTTCATACGTGCCTCTCTTGCCAGCCTCAAGGAGCTTCATCTGAATCTCTCCATTTCATGAGGAACATCACTTCTCCACTGCTTTTTTGTGGCACTAACTACTTGTTCAGGATCAAAATTCTAGTAAAGCTTATAGGTTTGTCAGCAGCCTCTCTTTTCTTTTTTGATTTACTATCATCAGATTGACTGTCAGACAAAGATTTTCTTTTAGTACCATCCTTTTCTTTACTGACTTTTTTTTTCTTTTTGGAAAGGGTTTCACTGTGCAGTTCAAGCTGGCTTTAAATTCACTTTGTAGCCCAGGCTGACCTCAAACTTGCAACAGTCCTCCTGCCTCAGCCTCCTGAATGCTGGGATTATAGGCATGCGCCATCATGCCTGGCTTTTTTGCTTTTTCTGTTTTGTGTCTTTCCCATTTTTTGCAATACCATTTTATTGGAGGCCATATTTTAGTGCAGACTTGAAGAGTTGTTATTCACCACCTTGGATGCTTATGTACCAGGTCCATAGTGTCTTGGCCTGCGCACCGGCAGCTCTGCTGTCATCTGGGAGAAGGGTCTGGGTCCCCTTCACTTTGAACACACTTCTTCTGTCATACTTAGCGCCCCTTGAAGTAGTTGTTCTCAAGTCCTCTCTCATGAGTGTCTTTAGTTGTGCTCTTGTGGTTGCCTTGAGGTCCTGAACTGATTTGTTTTGTGGTCATTTTGAGTTTAGAGAAGAGCCAGAAGTTGCACAGTGCCAGGTCCAGTGAAATAAGGTAGACGAAGACAGTGTAATGTTATGAGCCTCCTTTTCTGCTAGACAGCACTTGGAAATAACATTCAACTTATTTTTTATCACATGACATGCGAGGGAATTTTCAGAACTACTTTGCACAGTGGAAAGAAAAATGGGATAAGTGTATTCTAACCAACAAGGGATTAATGGCAGTGTGTCTTTTACTGTAATAAATTATTTATTTATTTATTGGTACTGGGGATCAAACTCACTATCTCGTGCTTGCCAGGCAGGTGCTTTTGCCATGAGCTAAATCCCTGTGTAATAAATTTTTACATTTTAAATATTCACTATGTTTTGATCATAACTTGCATATAAAGACATATATAAGTTCCCAGAGACATACCCTAGACTTACCATTCTTGAATTCACTTCATTCCTAGCAGCTTTCTGTTCTGTGTGTTTCTTCATGTATAGAAATTTGTAGTTGTTGAATCCTTCTCCTTGAGCTATGCTTTTCATTGATACTGACCACTCCCCTTTGGCTTTCTCAATGTTTTCTGCCTTGAATTCTGCTTTACATCATTCCTCCTGTCCAGCCCCCCTTGTCTGGTGGATATAGGGTCAGTGCTTATAGAGGGTTGCTGGAAGGACACGTTATCTGCTGTCCATCCACATCTTCAGACAGTCTGAGGGTGGCCCTGACACCCGCCAGTCACTCAGAGCTGTGTAATGAGGCTACATAGACAGTCTTGCCTTCACCCCTAGCTGCATTCCCTCCAGCTCATCACTTGCCTTACATAGCCATAGCCATGTTTTTATATCATGCCTTATTTTCTTTTTAAGTGCCCTCAGGAGAATTCTCTGTCTTAAGTTCTTTCTACTGAGGACAATTCCATTTTTCATTTCTTTTTTCATCTCTTAATTTATGATGTATGTGCGTGCATGCTTGTGTATGTATGTGGACAGATGGACAAGGAAACACACCAATAATGAAGTGAATAAATAAAAACAGAATTTACCCTAAAGGTGTTCTCCTGGGCATGACTCCTTGAACCTTATTAGACTTCATTAGTTGGCTTAAAAAAGAGAAAGAGAGCATTTATGTCATTCATGTCCTGTTATTTCCATTGGAGTTAAAAACCTTGCTGGAGAGTAAATGAACTAGAAATGCTAAAATCTGCCAGCATCCATTTTGGTTGTTGCTCAGATGTTTGATTTACACTTTAGCAGTCTGCATAGAAAGTAGTATTTTTTTTTTTTTGTCTTTTTAAATTTTTATCGGTACCGGGGATCGAACTCACAACTGCCTGCTTGCAAGGCAGGTGCTTATGCCGCTGAGCTAAATCCTCAGCCCCTAGCAGTCTGCATAGAAATGAGTAGTTAGAACTGGATTAAAGTCCAAAGAGTATCTTAGGTTTCTGTCAACTACTCTTTAGCCTTCACATAGAACTGGGCTCTTTTGCACTGTTTTGTTCTGATTAGTTGTAAGCACCTACCATAATTAAATGTCTTCTTTAATTTTAGGGATCTATCTTCTGGATTTAATCTACATCGATTCTGCATATCCTGCTTCAGGCAGTATTATGGAAAATGAGCAAAGATCCAATCAGATGAACAATATTCTCCGAATAATTGCTGATTTACAAGTTTCCTGCAGCTATGGTTAGTACCCTTGGTTGTTGGAATTGTGAAGTCTTGCCTTACTGAAATGTACATTCAGCACTTTACCAGTAAGAAGGCTTCAAGAAACCAGGTAGTCCCTGTGAAGCTCTTGATTTTAATATCATTTTAATCATTTTATCATTTAATATCATTTTAATCTCTTGGTTTTAATATCAAACATATACTAGATCCTTTACATATAGGATTGATTTTTTTCAAAGACTGCAGACTGGATGTGACTTTTACTGTTTTACACATGAGGATAATGAGGCTACAAACAGTTGAGTCATTAAGATCACACATCTAGGAGTAAGAGTGGTGAACAGCAGAGGAAAAAAACCTCTCCAAATTTTGGTGTCCAGATCTTGGGATACAGCAACATGAGGAAGAGAAGAAGGAAAGAAATGGGTCTCATGGACACAAGAAAGATATGAACTGAGACTTGAAGACCATGGAGAGAGATAATTCAGGAATTACCCCGCCAGAGGAAACAGCAAGGAGGGCACGCAGCCACCACCCGTTGTGCACCGGCAAAGGCCACACGAGCCAAGCAGAAGCAGCAAGGAACGGCCTCGTCCACCCTCACACCTTCCTGTAAGCAACCAGACATGACACAGGCTGAAATGATAACTGAAGTAGGGAAATAATATGACATTTATGTTGTTGGATTGACTTTGCAGACCTGGGTAACTATTTAGAGGATAACAATATGCAATATAGTAACAATTGTGGATTTCCTACTGTCCTATCACTGTTTTGTTTTGCTTTGTTTTGTTTTGTTTTACTGTTCTATTTTACTCCCTTTAAAAATAATCATAATAAAAAAATCACACATCTAGTGAATGGCTACATGAAGGTCTGCCTGGCTCATAGGTCACTTCTTCAAAAAGCAGGGTCTGGGACCAGGTTCTTTCTATTTGTGGCTCCACCATCTCCCATGGCCCGTCCTCCACTGGATCTAGCTGGTAGATACTGGAAGAGAGGGAAGCATACAAAGTTGGGCCTTAAATGCCAGATCCATTTTGTAATCGGGGATTGCAAGGAAAACAATTTTATTATAGGACACATAATTTATATTATTATTTATAATGGTCACCCAAGAAGTCAAATATAAGGAAAGTGCAGGAAATCTGTCCACCTACTAAAGACCTAGAGAATCCAGCCAAGGGCCTGGATCCCATGGCAATGTCCTGCATGAGTTCAGCTGAAGACCTAGAGCCCATGACAGTGGCTCCTGTGAGTCCAGCTGGAGGCCTAGAGCCCACAGCAATGACTCATGCAAGTCTATTTCACGGATCTGTGCTGGGAAGGCCCAGAGGTCAGCAGTGGAAGCTAGACAGTCTGTGCCGGTGGGATGGAGGATCTGTGCTAGTGGGCTGAGGGTTCTGCACTGGAGCCAAGAAGTGAAGAACTCCCCCCAAAAGTGCCATGGCCATCATAACAACAATGAGGTCCCAAATTCCTCTGATGTTGAGAACAGTTGAGTTCGTATCAGGAAGCCAGCATGACAAGTTTCTCCTAGAGATTGAGCAGCACACCATCTTCTCATCCAGAGCCAGAAAGTGATGCTCAGTGTAAGGACCAGAGCTCCCTCAAAGTGAGCTGCAGCCATTCTCAGCAACAACAAGATCCTGAGCTCCTCTGATGATGAGAACAGCCAAGTTCATGTCAGGAAAGAAGCTAGACAAGCCCCTCCAGGAGAACTAACAGCACCAAACAACAACAACACAACTTTTCCCCTCCAAGTCTCTTTTTTATTTTGGCACCAATCCTCAGGTGGGCCATCTGCAGTCAGCACCATGCTGATTCAGTTTAGCTGGTGTTAAGTTGACCGCCAGTCAAGTTAGGACTGCCAGTCCATCACAACATGCAAGCATACATCACTTCTGCCCACTGAGGCTAAGAATATAATCCAGCTATAGGAAGGAGGAAATGATTTGGTAAATTCCTGGCTGGGTTCTGTTCATACCGCGAGATCCAAAGTGTGACAGTGACAGTGGGTGTCTGGGATAATTGGAGGAAGAAGTCATTAGAAACAAGTTCCAGGCACTGAGTAGTCAGAATACCGGTGGGCCATCCCCATGGACTTCATCCAAGAAGACCTTGGACTTCGGGGTGTGGAGCCTGCCCATGAGTCAGGTGCCTTAGTCCTTATGAGTGAGAAGGAAGGATTATGTGGCCAGGGAGAAGACTGCAGTGAAGGGGGACAGGCAGCAGAGCTTAGGAACATGTCTGTGTGGAGCAGGGGCTTTGCAAGAATGGTGAGAAACAGCTTGCCCTACCTGTCACACATGGAGTGAGAGAACCAGCAGCCTCCAGGCAGGGGTGCCACAGAGAAGCCAGCATGGGTTCGCCAAGGCAGTGCCCACTCACCAGCCAGCCCCTCCAGCAGTGTGACAGGGCACACGGAGCAGGTCAGCTTTCTCCTGACAGTCACCTGAGTTCCCAGTGCAGGCCTCACCTACCCAGGAGTCTGCACCCACACTGACAGCAATCACAGACACAGCCCTGGGGCTCAGACAGACTCAGGTTCAAGTCTCAGTGCTGTGCTTGGAGTCGCTTTCTCCTCTAAATTTGCTCATACATGAAAATGGGACTGTGGTGTGCACAGAGCCTTTATGAATGTCATCGCCACTTGCACCATTGTCATCAGCTTGGAAAGCACACGCCATTATCCACATTTCAGAAATGAGAACACGAGCTGTAGAAAAACAACGTGACTTCAAAATTTCGCAACCAAGGGTCTTCAAGGGCTCCCACAGCCTGGAAAGTGAGAGTCCTCCCCATGTGCCTCTGTTCCTTTTCCCTCCTCCACTCCCCCTATCACCCTGCTTGATGTCTTCTGTTCTACCCGGTGGCCCTCTCAGGAGGAATTAAGTGAGCAGGAAGGTCTGTGGAAAGCAGCTGACATCAGTCACTCCAAGAAAGAGAGGAGCACAGTATAACACAGGTGGCCTGGGGCCAAACCCTAGCTCTGCCCCTTCTCTGGTATGCAACCTTTGCCGAGTCCCTCAGTTTTGTACTCTGTGCAGTGGGGGTATGATTTCTCTTATGTGAGGTGGGAATGAAGATTAGAACAAACTGATCCACAAGTCACCTGGTGCAGAGCCGGGCTCAGGTGATGGGCCTCTCCCTTTTCACCCAAGAATTAGCAGCTCTACCTGTGGGCTGGTGTCCAGCTAGGCTTCCACACCCGGCTTGGTGGTTCTTGTTCATGTCACACAGGCAGTGAGCCGGTATGGGAGGCTTGCCTAGTGCCCCAGTGGAAACCAGTTTGGGAACAATTCCATTCCTGGTCTGTTCTGGAGGTCAGGTGCCTGCCATCTTTCCCCAGCCCTTGCTCTCTGAGTGGAAGTCTCTGCTTTCCTTCCTGGATAGAGAACCAGGGTGGTCTCAGAGGGTAGTGTCTGTGACTCAAACATTTGGGGCCACTCACTGAGAACAGAGCCAGGCTTGGCTACCCTGGCACCTGTCCCCAAGGTGCATCAGCATCTCACAGAAAAGCAAGCGAGCCTCCCCATCCAAGGAGTGGCTAAGTCAGTAACTCCTGTGCTGCCCCTTGGACCCACAGAGGGGAGAGACTGAAACCTCTGGGTCCTGTCTGCCTCTTGCAGATCACCTCACCACCCTGCCCCATGTGCAGAAATACTTGAAGTCTGTCCGCTATATTGAAGAGCTCCAGAAGTTTGTGGAAGATGACAACTACAAGTAAGTCCCCCAACTCCTGAGTTACGTGTGCCCGCCTACTGCTCAAATCCCTTCACACGCCTGGTTCTTGTTGCCATCCATGCCCTAGCACCCACAGCACTGCATGCAAGTGAGATCTCCCTCCCCTTCCACCCCACATTGGTGCTGTCTGCCCATCCCCCCATATCTACCTCCATCCCAGTCCCTTGCACCCTTGATTTGAGGAAGGTACATTCACTTCTCACTGCAGCTTCCCATGCAGCCTGAGGGTGGGGTTGGGGGGGTGTTCCCCAGCTGTGCATGGTGCTAGCTTGGCACTTTAGTTCTTGTAAGCAGTTCCCTCACATGTGGCGCTGGGTAGGACAGCTCTCTGGCCATCTTTAGGTCAATGAGCAGAGTTCTGCAAGCTCCAATTTCATGGATGGAAGAAGAGACAATCCCCTGTGGCTCTCAGCTCCCTGTAGGACTCACACTGGCAACGTCCTGGCAACAGCACTGTGCAAACCCTTTGGGGAGACTTACTGCTCAAAAAGACCTCTCAGCCTTCGGCTCATCATGTATCTACCCTGCGCCAGGTTTTGGTTCTTTCCCCTTTGGTAGCACCTGGGAATGTATCCAGTCTTCCTGTATTTGGAGATAGATTTCTTATGTCAGCGTTGTCTGCCACAATGGGCTGGATGTCTTCTTGGCTTATTTTGAATTTGAGGTCCACTAAGAGCCTCAGTACTTTTTCATATAAGTTGATTTCAAGGCTACTCTCAGCCACCTTGTAATTGATCATTTACTACCTAAAAAATGTCAACTCTATAGATATTCTTTTAAACTGTATCTTACTGGTTGCTTTCAGTATACCATGATTTCTTTGAATGTTGTTATCTAGTATGTGTTTTAAAAGTTTTTTCCGCTTTTGGATTTACTAATTTGATCTTCCTATTTGGTATTCATCTAAGTCAGTAAAACTTTAAAGACCTGTGGCCACTAGAGCCACTCACCAGGATCTTGGTAGTGGCTGTTCAAACACCTCCCTTCTCTCAGTCAGCTCTGCAGGAATGGACTGCAGCCCTGGCTGGATACCAGAGCCCCCAGGGCACCTTCTCATCATCCAGATGTCTTGGCAGAGCCTGAAGATTTGTCTTTTTTCAGAAATCTCTGTGTGTTTCTAATGATTGTTGGAAGTATAGACATAATGTCATATTATTATAAAATAATTTGTCAAAATAAAAAATATGAGATTGTGATCTGTTATATAATAGTAGCAGGAAAAGAAGCCCACATATTACCATTAAAATTACGTTTATTACAAACTGAGATCATTTTATTTACAAAGCATTTGCTATTCCTGAAAAGAGTAGCCTAAAGTACAAAGTTATTCCCACTTAGGTTTTATTTTCCATCCCTTTGCCAAGCTTTTGCTTAAAGAGACAGTACTTTTTCATTAGCACTAATGTGCTTTAAGGAGAAAAATGATCTATAAATACTGACCATGAAGCAATCCTTAGACAAGTGACAGGTCGTAATTACTCCTTCCATTCTGAAGGATATCAAGCACTTCTAAGACTCCACGCTAAAGGACATCAGCCTGGAGTTTACAAAAGGCCTTTGTTGTGGATGAAGGGGTGTGTGTGTGTGTGCGCGTGTGTGTGCGTGTGGTGTGTGTATTGCATTCTCACCAGCCCTAACCTCTGTAGAACATGAAGGACTCCATTCCTGGGGGGGATCCTCATTCTGAATGGCAAGAAAAAGAAACAGGCAGGCTCTGTGATTGTGCAGGGGGAGCTTCTCTCCGCAGCCCGCTCACACCTGGAGACTGGCTCCTCACCCCCACGAATGCAGCAGCTTTGCTGGGACACTGATGACACTGTATTCCTAACACCTGCTCCCATCTGCTTTGAAATATTGCACCAAGAGGCTTATTTCTTGGCCTTTAGTCTAAGTTATTGATATGAGAAAAAGGACCCAAATTCCCACCACCTAGAAAGCTGATCATTAGCATTAAGTGAGCATAATTTTGGACATTTTTCAGTGCATAAAACATACATAGAGAAGGATGACTAGCTGAATGTATGCAAGGATGGAATTTATTAAAATTGGGTCTTACAGTGCTTGCTATTTTTACTTAAAAGTATTTTAGTTCAACTAGAAAAAGGAACAAATAAAAGCTAAAGAATTTCTGTTCTTTAAATAAATATTTCTTTGCTACAAGAGATATTATTTCCCCCAAAGAGCCTCCTAAGATTCATAAAAGGGCTCAGGAAAAACATGGAGCGTCTGAGTCAGGAAGTTTGCTGTAAGTACATTTCTGCTGTGGACGGTATCAGCTGGCTCTGGTTATAAAAGATGAGACTATTACCACGGCTCCCTGCTTCACCTCTGCCTTGCCCTCCTCTGGTTTTTTGTTAGCTTTGTTATTATTGGACCACATAACCCAAGTTTATAACATAAACATCATGTTCGGGAATCATAATTCCTACTGTTTAGTATTTTTAAACGGATACAATTCTTACCACCTGTTGTTCCTCCTCAGCATCTCCTGGAGTCCTTATTCTAAATCAATCCCTTACTCAGCTGGATTTCATCAGGAGCAGGCTCTCCCCAACCCCCTCCCTGGGCCTGTCTTGCCTGAGTCCCCCATGGAAGCAGCCACATTCATGAGGCCTAGCCTTGCTAGCAGCTCACCTCAGCTCTCTCCCAGGCCTGCAGACCTGGGCTGTTGCCCACTGGCATTGGGTGCTGCTCTAGTGAAGGCCGAAGCCAGTCAGTTTCCCCCTCTGAAAGTGGGTTGTTTGGTCTGCTTGGTGGGTGAAGGGTTCCTCTCAAAAGCTCAAGCAGGGAAGTCTTCACTAGAAGTCCTGCCCCAGTCCCTCCCTTTGCTGCCAGCAGTGCCATTGGCTTGTAGCTTTGACATCTCCTGACCGTTTCTTGGCTTCTGTCTTCAGGCAGGCATGTGCTGGGGACTTTCTGTCCTCCTCGCCCATTAGTTCCTTTCTAACAACTGTAGTCACCTCCTCATCCTCAGCAGTGTTTGGTGATCTGTTTTCACTTAGGTATTCAGCCAGCCCTGTCCGTTAGAGTCTGTGATTTGGGGTACCCACCCCCAACCTCCTTACTGGCCTCAGTCTCCTGCTTCATTTTATCCTTCTGTTTCATCATCTCACTTTTCAGATTTGGTTGTGTTTCACCCATGTTCCTCATAAGTTATTCCTCCATTCAAAACACTGGGGAGAATTTTCTCCACTCCCAGACCATTTCATGGGTTGGGTGCAGGCACAGCCCTCTCCCCCTTTCTCTGTCCTCCTTTTGGGAGAGGAGGTGTGCTGTGCCACTGGATCATTTCTTTTTATCTTGTTCCCATTTAGGAGGCTCTGTCTGGATGCTCCATGGCTCTTACACAGGCAGGAAGGCGTCTGGCCATCCTTCCATGTGTGGAGAGGTCTGCTTTCTCCTCCTGCTGCTGGGAGACCCAAGAGTTTTTGGATTTCCCTTCTTGTGTAATGTGGGGGAGTAGAAGGCTGGAGTCAGTAGACCCAGGAAGAGAGCTGTCTGCTTCATGCATGTGGACTCGGGTTTCCTTCACCTTGCTGGGGACTGTCTCTCCTTCCAGAAAGGACTATCCTTCATTCCCAGTCTTGCCCATGAAACCTTTATTTACGTCAGAGTGACCCTGCTCTGCCACTTGCTAGCCATGTGGATTTGGGGAAGGAAGTTACTATTCCTCAGTCTCCTCATTGATAAAATGCACCTAGTTTATAGCCTCATCAGCCAAATTAACACATCCTGCTCAGTAAACCATGGGCCTGGTTACTCACCATTGGTTCTTCAGTATGGAAACGCCTTGGAGGCCTCCAGGGAGGTGACTGTGCTGGGGGCCAGATCTCACGGCACTGCAGGGTTCTCTGACTTCTGCCGCCAGCAACAGCTGTCCCTTTCCAGCCTGACCATGCATCTGTCAGTTCGCCTGTGATAAGCCACTACCCATCTGATCTTGTGACTTTTGTTTTCAGATTGTCGCTCAGAATAGAACCAGGAAGCAGCTCTCCAAGACTAGTCTCTTCCAAGGAAGACCTTGCAGGTATTGTAGCCACCTCAAGTGGGAGCAAAGCCAGGAATAACCCTGGGCAGGCCTTGCCCATGGAGCTAAAGGGCACAGCTGAGTGTGCAGCACAGCAACTCAGCTCTCCCTGCTCATGGCTCCTGTGCCCACCTGCCAGGCTCCTAATCTTGTAGGACCTCTGCAAGATACCTCAATTCTGGGGCTCCCTAGAGCAACCTGGGACAGAACAACCCCAAAAACACAAGATTAGAGCCCCAAGGTGGGAACAAAATGAAATATAGAAATCCCGAGTCTCCGGACCACTTGGACCCTTATAAATCAGGGGTGCACCAGACTGGAGCATGTGTGCCACCAATATGTGCACAGGATGCCTGAAATATTTGGTGCCACTAGATCCAAGGAGCTCATCTTCCTGGATTTATTCTCCTGTTGAGGAAACACACATACACATGCTCCATAATGGCAAGGACTCAGTCTCTACAGTCAAGCCCAAGCTCTGCCATTTCCAAGCTCTCATCTGTAGAATGGAGCTAAAGCCCTTGCAGGGTGGCTGCAATTACCTGGTGAGTTCCAGCCTGGAGAGTGCTCCACCCACATTGTGAAAGTGGCACATTGTGAAAGTGTGCTTGGTGTTACTACCATCATCACTCTCGTCATGGCTGCTCTATTGGTTGTCCAGCCCACTCTCAGTGACCAGGGCTGACCTCTACTGCTGGCAGGAGGGTGGGGTGGGGACAACAGTACCTCCTCCTGACTTGAGCTCTAGTCGAATCAACCTGGATCAGGCCACTTTAGATAAGTGTCTTTATCCTCCACCCCAGGCCTCAATTTTCTTATCTACAAAATGGAGATAATAAAAGCAACATCCCAGCAATGTTAAAATGTCAAAAATGAGTGCTATTGGGAGGATGCCCAGCACAGCATGGCACATGCAGTGACTAGAAGGGGTGAAAAGCTGCTGCCCTGGGCCTGCCCAAGCCCTTCTCTATACTTCCATGCTAGCACGTGTCCTGGTAGGCAAGGACCACAGAGCCTGCAGTAGGCCATGCTGCAGCCTGCTGCAAGCCCCACCCTCAAAGCCTCTGTCCTGCCCTGAATTCACTCCTTCCCCTTGTCTCTTCCACTTCTGCTAGCTGTGTCTTGCAAGCTGGACCCTGCGCTGTTACCCTGGGGCTCATCTGGTAACTTGGAGAGTGAAATGCATCTGTCTTCAGAGCCTTAGGAGATGCTGTTGTCCTAATTTAAGACAGAATCAAGTTTGTGTTGAGCAGCTTGGTTTCTATGAGGCTTCCCTGAGTGCAGTGTTGAAATGTCCTCCACTGTCTCTATACCTGCTGCCTTTTCCTGACAGATGGCCAGTAGCAAGGGAACACTTTGGTACTGATCCAGTCTCTACCTTCCCATCTTAGACCTGTTCTAGGATCCTCCCCTAGCAACTTATTCCTCCAAAATGCCCAGTACTTCACACTCCACCTGCAGAGTGGGCACAACACACACACCTCAACCGTGGGGCTGTTGTGGAAACTTACTGGGACCACGTGCCTACAGCAAGTGGAGCCTGACCCGGAACACCCCCGTCAGGCACAGCTTTGTCATGATGGTACTGTGATTCTCAGTATTATGATTCATCCTCTGTCCCTGGTTCAGCCTTCAGGTTTTAGCTAAATGTCACTGTCTCATAAAGCATTTCTGCCAGCCCCAGACCTAATCAGGCTCCATTTTACAGGGGCTGGCAAGCTCTGGGCCATGTTCAGCTCTGGGCCATGTTCCTGTATAGGATGGAACACAGCCGCCCGCCCACTGCTATACTGTCTGTGTTTTCTTTCACTCTGCAATAGCAAGGTTGAACGATTGGGATGCAACCAGGGTTCTGAAATGCCTAAGAATACTGTCAGGCCTCTGACAGAGATGTGCTGACCCCTGTATGACAGCTTCCTTCCACCAGTGCTCTGTGCCACTCGTGCCTGCATGCATGGTACATCCCTCCCACTAGCTGCATGCTCACATGCCTTGAGTCTGTCTTCCCACCAAAATAAGGGCTCCTGAGAGATGGGTCCACTGTGGAATTCCTAAAGCCCAGTATGTAGGGGCTCTGGACAAAGGACTGTGGTCACCTGCCTTGCCCCTTGGCCCTGTGCCCCAAGCACCTGCTGGGCCTTGTGGGCACCTGTTCTTGGAGGCAGCTTCAGCATGGGCTGACTGCTGACTCTGCATAGCCTTCAGGAGAAGTGCTGATGCCAGCAGCTTTCTACACAGTGGCGTAAGCCCCAGCTCACAGGAGTATTTTCCACCAACTTTCAAATCCCTGGCTTCAGCCTTGCAAGCAGGAGGTTAAGATTCGCTTAGATAGCCAGAGGTCTGGGGAGTGTCTGAAGAGCTCAGACATTCTTAGAGGCCCTGGCTTCCTGCTTGCAGCCCCAGAGGACAGAGAGGGGGGTGCTGTTTCAGCCTTGGATCATCAGGGTACTCTAGAGAATAGGACCAGAAGGGCAGGACCAGAGGGGCAGCTCAAGGGAGCTTTTCTGGGTCTGGCAGTCAGACTGAGCCACGTGGCAAGAGCTGAACCAGAGTCAGGGACAGGAATGTGCCTCTTGCAGTCCTAGGAATGGGAGGAACGCAGCCTCCCTCACTCCTCTGGAGGCGGGTTTAGGTTCCAGTGTGGGGTTCTTTACACAGCCACATATACCACACCTGCCAAGGAAAAGCCCCGTGGTGTGCTCTTTTGTTCACTCAAGGCTTGCGTGCTATGGGCCCACAATGGCCAAGCACTTGCAAGGAGCCAGGCGCTCAGCACAAGTAAGGCAAGACCCCAGCCTCCTGGAGCATGCATCTTACAGTGGGAGAGGTGGACCGTGTGCAGAGCCGAAAGGAGGCCCACAGGAGTGAACCGAGGGGGCCAGGGGACTCTGCCTCTTCTCTACCCGGCTCCCCTGCCTCTGGGACCAGGAGGCCTTGACCCTGACACTGAGAGCAGCTGTGGTCTCATGGGCTTGAATCTCTCTTGAGTAACATCAGAAGCGGGGTCCAAGCTGTGGCTGTGTGGTCTCTGGGATGGCTTCCGTACCCTGAAGAGAGCTGCCCCCATTTTCCACCCTAGGGAATGGCTATGTGGGCAGGTTTGCCCCTAACAAAATACACTGTGAGAAAGGAAATGGAGAAACCTCAGCTTCTGAGTGTGAATAAAAAAGCCCAATAATGCCATGTTTTCATCCCCTACCCCCGCCCCGTGTAATGTTTAGTTCATGTAAGTGAACTAGAATTTTCCTGGAGAAAAAAAACGTACAGAACAATGACCCCCTAGAGAGGGCAAATAATGTTTGTATCCCTTGAATTGGCGGGAACATTTCCAAATTTTGCCAGCCCCATCCCCACATGGCTTCCCCAGTGGACAGAGTTCCCTCAAGATTCCTGGGTGGCAAGTCAAATCCAGGAGACTCAGCCTGGGCCGCTCCTCTCTGCACATACTCTCAGGACCACACTCAGACGTGCCTTGCTGTCTCCCTGTTTCATTGCCTTGTAGCAAGAGTCCTGCTCTGGGTTCAGACAGACCTGAGTTCAAACAGAACCCAGCTCCAGCACCTCTGAGCTGTACAACCCCCGGCAGTGAGCTTGGTCCCTTGGAGCCTCAGTTTCCCTGTTAACAGCAATGTTTTCTGCAGGCTCTCACCCCAGGCCTCTGGGAGCATTCCCTGAGGTGGTGCCAGAAGACCTGCTCATGGGTTTGCACTACTAGCCTCTTGGGGGTTAGCTCCGGGCTCTCCCAGCAGACTCTGATGTTGTCCATATGGGCAACAGGGTGAGGCAGCTGCCCAACCATAGGAAAGCAAGCCTGAGGGGCTGTCTGGGCTCCTGCTCACTTACTTACTACTATGGCAGGTACGGCTGCCTCGTAATATGGCCACCTCAGGACCAGCAAGATTCTGCATGGCAGCTAGCTGTCCCCCAGAGGAAATGTCCAAGAAGGGCAAAAAAGAAGCTATATTTTAGCCTTCGAAGTCATACAGCCTTACCTTGGCCTCCCCCAGTGAATCAGGAAGCCACAGGGCCAGCCAAGGTCCAAGACAGAGCAGGAGGGACTTTGTGGGCACATTTTAATAGCACCACTCCAGCCAGTGACAGGAGGAAAACAGGCTGAGAGATGGGATGCATCATCATCCTCTTCCTCATCCTCAGCATCAAAGCAACTTTTGCTAAACACAGACTGTGCCAAGCACCATCCCAAGCCTTGCCTTGGCCTCCTCTGTGCCCTGACCCCAACCTAGTGAGGGGGCCCTGTCACACCTGTTCTGCAGGTGAAGGCACCTAGCACGTGCCCAGCCTCATGCAGGAAGGAAGTAGCAGAGCCACCTGCTGAGTGCAGAAATTTGCCCACCTCCAATGCGAATAGGGGGCCAGTGAGAGCCCAGGGCACTCTAAGATCTGTCCTGGCTGCCCTGTGTACCTATGCAGTGTAAGTTAGCCTTTGCCCTGAGTGATATCCTGTCATGTCCTGCTTTCCTACAGACACTTTGAATCACACGCTGTCCCCACTGGTCCTCAGATGCTAGTTCCAGGTAAGAAGTAAAACTCCAAACCTGATATGTGTTAAATCACCTCACCTCACCCTTCCAGGCCTGGCTGCTTATGGCAAGAGAGCAAGTGTGGCCTTTATGCTCCCTTAGCATTTCTCCACGTCCCTGATATGCTGCCACCGCCCAGGGTGGGACACAGTCTCACACTGGTTGCTGCTCTCTTGGGGCATGGTGCAGTCAGTACCACTGTGCTTCCTTTCCTGGGCACTTGCAGGTGTGCGTCAGAGTTTCTATGAAGTCCTCAGCCCAGCAGATGCAGGTCCATTCCAGGGGCTTCCATGGTTCCTTCTGCAGCCCCTCAGAGTCGATTGCCTACTACTAGCTGCTGCTCAGAGCCCCTCAAGCCCTTAAGTCCATGCCAGATCACCTCACAGGCGCCACCTTGTTCCATGGGAGGCCTTACCCACCCTCACCACCACAGACCTGTGAATGCAGTTGGCTCTTGTGGCTACCACTGTCCTCTGACTGTGGCCATCTTGCATCCCAGGCCTGAACAAAATACCAGAAGTCCCTTGTGTAGCCTGCCACTGTATAGGTTCCTTCAGCCCCACCAAGGGCTCTCTGCTTGCAGAGGAGGAGAGCAGCCATAGACAAAAGGAAAGGAGGGCCTCTCCTCACAGTCCTCCCTCCAGAAACCTTTTCTGTCTTCCAAGTGGTAAAAGGGCTCCCTCCTCCAGGGCCAGAAAGCCAGTCACATGAAGGCCAGGCAAAGGAGGCAAAACTCTCACTGCTTCCGTCCAACCGAGCTGCCCTGCTGTGGCCTCTCTCCTCACAGCTCCCTGTGGCCTGGGAGTGCAGCTTCAGTCGTGAAGGGGGTCCATGGCATGCTTGACCCAGTCAAAGAACAGTCAGGTGCCATTTTCCAGAAGGAAATGAACCATAGCCTGTGTGTGGTATGGGAGATAGATCTTGGCCAGCAGAGGGCCTATGAGAGTTGCATATGGGAGAATCTGAGAATGTGTGTGAACTTGAAAGTGACTGACTCCTGGCTCCCTGGGAAAACTGGCTGTGAAGGGTTTTTGCAAACATGAACAGACTTTCTGTGCAGACCCGCCCCTCTCATGTCCCTGAGAGGCAGACCCAGAAGGGTCCAAGTCTCCAGACTGGGAACAGGGCTCCTGCACAGGCGCTCCCAGTTGGTGCAAAAGCCCACCTTGCATTCTAGAGGCTCAAGCGGCACTGGTGGGAACTCCAGGAGACACAGTCCTCATACCCACCCCTCGAGCACCATGAGAGGCTTTGTCAGGAGGAGGGGACAGGCTGTGAACCCCTGCCTCAGCCCAGGCAGAGGCAGGGTGGAACGCAAATCTCATGACTGCATTGAGCAGTTTCCCCTCTGCCACAGCTGCCTCCCATTAATTTCTGATGTGTGAGACCTGTTCCCTGTGAGCAGACCAAAATAGGGCAGTGCCAGTCCAGAGCAGGGCTCAGAGGCAGGAGAAATCTGTAGGAACAAGCTCCCAGATGGGCGGTGTACCCTTTTTAGCAGCCATGAGTGCCACAGCCATCTATCCAGGGACCTCCAGACATTCCATGATGGATTTCATATGTCCTCCCCCAGCCCCCACAACCCACTCCCTGAGTGCACACCACCTTGGCACAATGGGTTACTCCAAGACCCCTCCCTTCCCACCCTGCATCCACACAGCCCATGGGCTCAGGTCTCCGCCACAAGCAGGTGCTCTCAAGCAACAGGGAGCTTCCCAGGGTGCCCTTCTGAGTGCATCACTGTGCTTTCTCCTCACGAAACTCCGGGTCCTCAGAGGCCACCAAGCCTTTACATATGCTGTTGCTTCTGCCTGTCACTGTCCATGCTGGAGCTGACATACCAGCTGGGATGTCAGACATCCCAGAAGTCCCCTCTGAGTCTCCCTCCGGGTTCTCAGCTGCACTGTACGCAGAGATCTCTGGCTCAGAGGCTGCTCAACCTGGGCCAGTTCCTGAGCTTCCCAACTGCAAGCTCCACATCATGAAACTGAAATGGCCACACGTTCTGCATGGCGATGGTACCATGAGCCTTAAATAAGAGTACAGGGATAGCACACCTTATAGATACTCACTGAAGGTTAGCAGTTTTTGTCACCATCGGTATTGGTGGGCTCACACCACTCAGGCAGCTGCCGTAGTGATCACTGTCATCCCCTGTCAAAGCTTGTGCCTCTCCTGGGAGCAGATGCCTGGCTATCCTATGAGCCCCGTGAAGACAGACCATCATCTCTCAATCCCATACTATGGCGCCAGCACCAACATGGCCTCGTGCACAGGGTGCAGTAAACATTTGAGACAGGAGGAGGGAGGCTGGAGATAGCACCCCCATTGCTGTTCTGCAGATGCAGACTTAGGCTCAGAGGCTGGGGCCACTCAGTCTGTAAGTGCAGACACAGGGGAGCCAGGCCCATCTGCCTTCAGGGCTGCAGTCCTTTGCCATGCTTGTTCATCAGGCTTGATAAAGACCCCTCCACGGCCATCATTAGAGGCCCAGTGCTTTTTACTCTTCCGGTCAGTGAGTGGTCTATTGGTCAGTATGTGGTTTCTTGAGAGAAAAGTAATGAAAACCAGATCTTTTTCAATATATCTTGTTCCCCACAGAGACTGTCAGTTCTCATATGTTCCAATAAAACTGCTAAAGAAACAGCCACTTAAAGCACTTTAAAGATTATTCATGGAAAAATTATGCAGAGGAAAAATACAGCAATCCTCTGAGATAGTCAAGCCCCATGGTCAGTTTTTCCAGCTGTCCATGCCATATCAGGCGGGCAGTAGGGACTGCACTCTGGCCAGGGTCCCAGCACATTAGCACCACCCCACCCACCCTGCCCCTGCCCAAGGATATGATAAACTTGCCAGCTGCCCAATTCTGACACAGCCCCAGAAGACACGTGTCCCTGGCAGTCACGTGGGGGCCACCCCAGGCTTGGCCAGCAAGAACCTGAGGCATTTCAGTAGCTGAGGGTGTCACTTACTGGCAGAGAGGTCCCTCATCTGGGTCCCAGCTGAATGGAAATTCTTCTACTTCTGCATCAGACCCAGCTGTTGGTCAACAATGCAGAAGGCGGGGGAGGGGGCTGGGAGAGAAGCGTCAGCTCTGACACTGGGCCCTGGGGCCCTACCCTCTCCCCCTAGCTGGCCCAGGGGCATTTGAGGTCAGACAAACCTCCCAAGGGTCCAAAGCACAAAGGAGAGGGGGCCCATCCTAGCCTAGTCCTGGAGGAAGAATAGAGGGCTCAAGAAAGAGACCAATGGGCTTGCAAGGACCCAAATTGGAAAGCAGAGACGGGGCAGGCAGGCTTGCTGTGTGTGGGAGGCAAGTGGGACAAGGAACAGCCCGCAGAGGAGCAGCACCCTCCCGTGTGGCCCTGGTGTGCTCTAAAGAGGCCATGATGAGCCCATGAGCTAAGACACGAAGTGTTTTACCAGTCTGGCTCCCAGTTGGTGCAAAATGAATGGTAGGCCTCTTCCCCTTCCCTTTCTCAATTGTAGCCTTTGGACCTACCTAAATGCAGGTTTCCCAGAGGAGCTGTCTCCTGCTTGCTGATCCTACACATATGGTCTCTCCCTGTCCCTTCCTCTTGTGTCCAGTGTCCAAGCTCTGAACCACTGGGTGCCTCCCTTGCCAGCCAAGGAGTGCTGCTGAACACCCTCCTCCAGCACTCTGCACATATGCAAGCTGGCCCTCTAAGAAACTGGGACTACTAAGAGTGCGTGCCTCAACTATTACAGCGAGAGCGAGGCAAACAGCAGGCACCAAGTGTGCAGTGCTGAATCCTCATTATTTCTGCTGTAACTCCAGGACCCCTGGGCTTCTGCTTCAAATCACATGGGGAGGAGCAGTGCAATCTGACCTTTAGAAATCACTTTTCTGCACCAGGGTGGGAGCCTGAGTGACTCAGGCAGTGGGACTGTAATCCTCTTATATGGCTGCTGATAAACAAACCCGGTTCCACCCTCTGGATTCTTCCCCAGCAATAGTGAAAACCAAAACAAAGCAGGATGGTTTTCATTCTTTCTTTCCCTCTCTGGAGCAACTACATGGCCTGGCTGCCTGTAGCCCAGCCTGTAGCTCAGGTCTTCCCCAGGGCACCTGCCGAGCTGCCCAAATCCCCAGCAGCCAACATAGCAAGAACTGCCAGGGTTCTCTCCAGGTAGCACTGACAAGAATCAGAGCCTCAAACAAGCTTCCACTGTGCAAGGGGAAATGTGCACAGAGGACCATGCAGGTGCATTTCAGCCACCCTTCAGTTCCCAAAGTCCTGGCTCAGGGACTTTGCCTCTCTTACTGGATTGGTCTATGAGATCTTGCTTTCCACCTTAGCAGAACTGGGACCCCAGTGGGCTTACACAACCACCACCCCTGCTGTCAGCCTTGAGAATGGGTGATACAGGGTGGGGCGGGAGAGGGGCACTGATGAGCAGAGCACTGTGTAGCTCCTTTACACTCTGTCCCACCTGTGACAGCTGAGTGGGCATCTTACCCCAATCCCCAAGCCTCTCCCCACCCACACTCCTCTGATCCCTGCTCTGTTCTATCTCTCTCTCTCTCTGCTCTGTTCACAGGCCCCTCTGTGGGCTCCAGCTCAGCGCGCTTCCGCCGGAGACCCACCTGCCCCGATGCATCTGTGGCCGGCAGCCTTCCCACACCACCGGTCCCCCGACACAGGAAGAGTCACAGCCTGGGCAACAAGTGGGTGACGGAGCAGCCCTGCTCCTGGGCTTCTGACTTGGCATGGGCATGAATGAAGGACTGCTGGGAGCCCTCACCTGAGGCTGAGTCCCTTCCATACCCCTCCTGGGAGCTCTTGGTGCCCCTAGCTGGCATGCTGTCCTGAGCCTGGCATGAGTTGAGGAATCACTGAGAGCACTGGTAGCATCATCCATTCACCGTTCACTGAGGCTCCAGGCTCTGCAGCTCATGGAGATACAGAATGGATGAAGGAAAGGGAAGCAACAGGAGTTCTAGCAAATGCGCCCAGGCTCTGTTAGTAGCTTTCTTATGGAGAAACCCAGAGTCTAGGCCCAGTGGGTGCCAGGGAATGTTGCCAGGCCACCATTTGTTGTCTTGTGGCATCTGCACAGCAGTGAACCTGCTGGCTCACCCACCCCATAGGGCTGTTAGCTAGGGGTCAGGGCTAGATCTCAGTATGACTGGGGGCAGCCATGCCATAGCTCCTGGGCATTGGGTATGGACTCCTGAACAGATGGGTCCATCTCCCTCTCTCCATCCTTTCTTCCCTGCTTGCCTTCCTCCTTCCTCTCCGCCTGCCTGCCTGCCATCTCTAGTCACGCCCAAACCAGCCCTGGCTGGCCCTAAGGAGTTGAGGGCAGGAGGAAGAGAGACACTCTCTGAGTTCTCAGCACTCTTAGCCCTCCGCCTGCCCTGCCACACGCCCACGGGGCAGGAGCCCACTGAGAGGAGGCAGCGGTGTTATCACACGTGGGGTAAGATGAGTCTGGCGAGGGTCACAAGGCCATGTCCCTTGCGATGGTGAGGAGGTGTGGGACCAGGACTGGGCCAGGTGCACGCAGCTCCAGCCCTGCTGCAGCCTCGTCATTCACAAGCCTCATCTTCATCCTGGAAGCAGGCAGGGCAAGCAGCATTGTTTCCCATGAACGGGCGGAGAAACTGAGGCTCCACAAAAAGATGTGACTTGCCCAAGGTCACACCTCCAGAGAGGGCACAGCCTGGAAACCTGCATCCAGCAGTGCAGCCAAGATCGCTCCACGGCTAAGGAGCTGTGCCTTCTTTCTTCCTTTCCGTTTCCAGTATGATGTGTCAGTTGAGTGTAGTTGAGAGTAAAAGTGCGACATTCCCATCGGAGAAGGCCAGGCACCTTCTGGACGACAGTGTCCTAGAGTCGCGCAGTCCCCGCAGGGGCCTCACCCTCACCTCCTCCACCGTCACCAATGGACTCTCCCTAGGTAAGCGTCTCCAGCCTGCGCACCACAGGCAGGGGGCCTAGGCTCAGCATGTGCTCTGTGTCTGTCTCTGTCACAGTGCCACTGGGGGCCCTGGGGGATCCAGCGGCACCTTGCTCCTTGAGAGGTGGCTCCCTGCAGGTGTACAGTGGAGCTAGGAAGCCTTTGCTTCCTAGCCTTCTGGAATTGAGGACCCAGGGGGTTCTTATCTGAATTGTAGCCCCAGTGTTTCAGGCAGGGGAAGAGGCAGCCAGACATACACTTGAGTGTGAGCCCCCAAAGCCCAGCTGCTGCCACAATGGCATTTCTGCCTCAGGGGAGCCCTCACCCCAGGACCCCACAGCGCAAAGCAAGGAAAGCTTCTTGGCACAGTGACAGGGTGGCCACTGGGTCTTCACTGTGTACTTAATGCTGCAAAGCTAGAGGAGGGAGGATGGAAATGCGATCTTCAGGGATGAAATGACATCGATGAACATCAGCCAGAACAGTGCTTGTGTCAATGGAAGGAACAGAAGTTTGGCACAGGCCGAGAGGGAGGTGCCGAAGTTAGGGCTGAGGCTAGCCCTGAGCTCTGGTTACAGATCTGTCCCCCTGTGTCCCCAGGTCAGCTGAGGGCAGGTGGACACCAGTAGTGTTACTGAACTGATCAGACCAGTGCCCCTCTGATGGTACCCAGGTGCCTTCCCATGTGCCTGTGCTTCTGTTATTGGTGTGTCTGTGTGTCTGTCTGTTGCCTTTAGCAGGGAGTTCTCTCAGGTCTGGGGTGGGCAGGCAGATGCCATGCTGAGCTTAACCTGATGAGGACCGTAGGGTAGAGGGCCAGGAACATGGGGTAGGTGGGCAAGAGGAAAACAGGCAAAATCGCATGTACTAGTCTCAGAGACTGTGGGCTGTCAGCCCAGGAGACAGCCATCTCCCTCGCCTCTGAAAGTCTGCCTTCTGTCCTCAGGGGCCATCCTATGTGGATGCAGGCTGTGGTGTAGGATAGCCTTCACCAGTGCCTTCCAGGGCCTGCAGGAGCCATGGAAGAGCCTACTAGATTTCACATGTTGGGGAGAAGCTAGGTGGAACAGAAATGCAAAGGCTTCCTCCCCAAGACTTTGCTGTGTTGAATGTTATGAACACTCAAAGACTGTGGGGTCCCCCGATGGATCCTTTTTCCTTGGAATATGGTATTGGGAACAATGGGATTGGGATTCTGAGGAATGCACTCTGGGAAATACAAGCCCAAGAGTGCTTGGCTGGGCCCCGAGCATCTGTGTGACATTCAGGAAATTGTCTTCACTATGCCTGAGTCCAGGCCTGCTATTCCAGAGACAGAAAACAAGTCAGGTGCTGTGTGTCCAGCATCCAGATGCAGATCACAGAGTTGTTTGGTCCTGACTCTTCAAGTCAGAACTCACAGTGTTTTTCTGCTTGGGGCTGAAAAGCCCTAAGTAAGTTGCCACATGTGCACAGACCCCATTTGGAGCCAGACTGGTCTGTCCCCAGCACCTGTAATGAGGGCCACTGCTCAGAATGATCCAAGGGCCTAGGACTCCTCCTTATCCCTTCCCTATGCCAAGCCTTGCTTTTATTTCAGTCAAATAGCCCTGAAGCTTGAGCCTCTGCAGTCTAAAACAGTACAGAGGCAGGGCACACGGATGCTGAGTGACAGAAAAAAATCTCTCCTTGGATAGCTCCTAGAAGTAGGTGGCCTGGTCCAGTCGTCCTCTGTGCCTCCCTGGGCCAGGGCTGTGCCGGGACATTCTGGGACTTTCCAGAGGGCTCTGTCAAAGAGGGGCAGCCTAGCCTGGGGGCAGACGAAGTGTGTTCCAGCCTTGCTTCCCCTGAGCCAGCAGGGACAGTGGTGAATTCCCATCAAGCCAGGTAGGCCCAAGGTTCTAGGCCCCAGAGGCCTTCAGCAGGCAGTGGGAAGGGGCAGAGGACCCCTGGGAATGGTGGTACAGGACAGGCCTTTCTAACCCTCTAGAGCAAGGTCAGAAACAGTGGCAAAAACTTGAGTCATGTTGTCACCCACAGGGTCAGGAAGTTGTGAGCTCTTCAAGGCCACTGTGCTCACTGATCTGTGTTCCTTTTCCAGGCAGTAGTGAGAGCTCAGAGTTTAGTGAAGAGATGTCTTCAGGGCTGGAAAGGTGAGTGTGGCCTCAGCATGGCCTCATCCCACAGAGGTCTCAGGACCAAGGAGCTGGAGGCAGGCTCTGGGCACTGGCCTCAAGAAGGGTCCTGTGGCTCCTCAGCGTGGGCAGGAGCGTAGGACCGTGGGTGTCCAGGCCTCCGCATTGTGAGCAGCCTCACTTCTCTGCCTCACTTCAGTCAACTCAGGAGTGCTTCCTGGAGCAGATCTGGGAGCAGACTGGCTGTGCAGTGCAGGTTCTGGACAGCAGGACAACACCTGTTCTTCTGATGGACATGTGGCTCCACCTGGTGGGCTCTAAGAGTATTGCACCCACACTCCACCCTGCTGGGCACTGGTGGCAAAGGACTGGCACCACTGCCATGCAGCCTCAGGTTTGACTCCCTGTGCAGAACCTATCTGCCTAGGTACACAGCCTCCAACTCAGGAGTTTACCTGTAATATGTGCTCCCGGGCCAGTCCTGGGGGTTAGGAAGATGGAGGTGCCACGAAGGGGTGACCCATGGCTGCAGCACCGGTAGAGGAGGGCATCAAGGTCTGAGGCTAAGCAGAAGGAAGTCCAGTGATGAAGACTGTTCCAGGGAGGCAGGCGTACCTTGTCCTTCAGGGTGAGGCCTCCACCAGTGTCTAGTGGCCTTTGCCCAAGTACCATGCTCTCATACATGTTACACATCTATGCACACTCATAGAGCTCTCACAGTGCATGTACACAAGCTGCACACTCACACATGTGCACATACATATGCACATGCTCACAGTTGCACTCATGGACATGAATGCACACTGATGGTTACACAGTGTCATGTGTGTGCATGCAGGTGTGCACACTCCATGTAATGTAACATGCATACATGCACCAATTCAGCTAGAGGCTCACATTTAGTTACATACTCATGTGCACATGTATACACACATGCACTCACAGCTAAATGTTCTTATATGTGCACATGCACACACCTGCACAGTTACACAAATACTCCTGCAAATATATATGCACACGTAGTTACACATGCCCTCACAGAAATACACTTGCACATTCACTCAGTACACACTCATGTGTACATACATGTACTCTTGGTTATATGCTACACACAGGCACATGCATACGTATACACACATGTATATGCATGCATATATACAACTACACCTACAGATGTACAGCACTACATTTTCTCATATACCCTACATGCACACATGTGCATGCATGCATCTGTATATGCACATGTATGTACACATTCACATATATGTAAGTGTATACTCATAATATGCACATCACAGTACACACACATGTCCACAACACTCATACTCCTGCAGTGCTGAAGCTGCTGTCCCCTAACTATAGAGTGACTAGAAAAGAGGTTGTTTCTCTCTACCTCTCACAGGGCAGAGGGGCCATCAGGTGATCAATGTACTGAGCACTTCCTGTGTCCCAGGGTCTGTCCAGGCCCTGCCATGCATGTGCATGAACTCCCTGCACCTCCACCACAGCCATGAGTATTGTCCCCATTTTGTGCACAAGGACAACAGGGTCTGGCTGAAGTGATTTGCCTGCTTCACACTCATTTGCCAAGGACAAAGTTGACCCAAAGCCACACCCTTCTTCCACCAAGCACCCCTAGATTGTCCCATGCCTCAGTCAGAGGGCCCACACTGACATCTCTACAGGGCGGGCCCCAGACCAGCCAGTCAGTCTGTCAGTGCAACTCAGGGTGACGGCTGGGAGGGGGAGGTCTGCACTTGTCCCAGCACTTCCTTGGAGACCTTTGCTCTGTTCTCCTTGGGGAGCTCAGGCTAACTGGCCCCCGGCTTACCCCGCAGTAGGAAGGAAAGGCCTCAAGGGCAGACTGCAGAACTCCCAGGCAGTTGGGACACCCAGGTGTGCCCCTGGGAGAGGGCTACAGACAAGCTAGCATCTCCCCTGGTCACCGGCCCCTCAGAGGACAGCAAATGGAAAACACCCAGTGGTGAGATCCGGAACAGCAACCACTCCTGAACCTGTCTGTTCATTCGTTCATTCATTCATTCATTCACTTGTTCATTCCTTCATCTGCTCATTCATGCATTTCTTCATTTGGTAGTTGTTTATTAAGCAGCTGCTTCCTGCCAGATACCATACAACTTGATGAGAGTGTAGTCTCTATGGTTCCCAATAAGTGCCATAATTGAGCTTGGTCTAGAAAGGAGGAGGGTGGGGGTGAATTCATTGCTCCAAGGATGCAGCACTGTGTCCAATGCATGAACATTTTATGGTACCTAAACCACTGTCCACCTGACTGTCTGGAACAAGTACCTTGTGGCTGTGATCTCTGAGCACTGACTTCTCAGTGATGCATTGTGCCCTGCCTCCAGCAGCTGTTAACTGCCTTGCATGGAGGCTGTCCTGCTCCTCATTGTCTAAGTGATGTAACATTTGGCCCATGACCTCCTGGGTGAGGGGGACAGAAGCCACTTGCTTCACAAGATGGCAAAGGGTACAATGAAGACCCACTCTCGTGCAGGCCTGTTATCCTATGCCAGCTGCTGTAGCCTCCTGTTCCTGTTTTCACCCTGCACCAGTCTCTGCTCCTGTTCACAGAGAATCCATGCCCTAGAAAGCAGATGTGCGTTCCAGTCTTTCCTGCAGACTCTGCTGGAGCACTGGAGGGAGTTCCTTCTTTCATTCCTCACAGCTGAGTCACCATCATGTTACTCCTGAGTCTTCTTTATGGCTTGACCTTTGGGCAGCCCCCCTGCATTCCATCTGCATCTGCTCTTTGAAGGGGAGTGGATCCCTGGGTATCATCCTCTGCCCCCCACACACACACACACCAGCAACTGCCCAAAAGACCTCCCTACTCATGGCCGTCCAGCTGTCCTCACAGCTGCTACATGATCACAGCTTTCTCTGTATTGTCTCATCTGCTGGAGCAGATAAAGGAGTGCATCTGGGGTTACAGGTTCAGGAGAGGGCCAAGCTAGGGCCTCCTGCAGCTCTGAAGCTGAGGGGCATGACCTTTGATGGATCAGCCCATGCCTAGTAAAAGCTTGTCTCAAGCCAGGTAAAAAATGGAGCCAAATGCATAGCAAAGTAAAGGGCAGGGAGACACAGCTCTTCTGGTTGAGCACATCTGAATCACTGTCAGTGCCACCACAAATAAGCAGGGGCAGAGTTCCCGCTGTCTGCACTTATTTGGTCCCATCTTGTGAGTTTACATGCTCCAAGTTTATACACATAAATGTCAGTGCCAGGGCTTAAAGGTGGTTTCTTCATTGTCAGCAAGACCCAGGCCACATGTGCCCAATGTGTCCCCAAAGTGGCTGGCATCAAAAATGCCTGCATTACCAGGTGTGTATGCCTATAATCCCAGCTGGGAAGCTGAGGCAGAAAGATTGCCATGGTCACCCTGAACTGTATAGCAAGACCTTGAATTAAAACAGACAAATAAAAAAATGATAACCTATCTCGGCTTCCACTGGAGCAGTGGACCACTGAAAAAGGACACACCCCATCCAACTGGGATGTGGAGTGAGGGTGCAGAGAGCAAAGGGGTCACCTTGCTGTCCCCACATCTGCAGAGCCCTGGCAAAGTGAAGACACTGTGGGCTGAGGAGGGGCAGCATAGCTGGGGAATATTCGTCACTTCTCAGCTCCCTTGGAGGCCAGAGTCTTCATTGTTGGGAGTAGCGGGGTGGGGCTGGGCCCTCTTTTCTCTAGACTTTACCTGGGACCCCTGCCCCACACACCACTTGCCCAAGGAGGGAATAGAGGGCCCTTGAAAGGGCCTGGAGCTGGCACTGGGCTGGGCTCCAGCCGTTCTCAGACTCCAGAGAAGCCAGGAGGCAAAGGTGCTCAGGACAGCAGCGGGCGCCCTGCTGACTGTGGGCCTGACCTGCAGGTGTGGGCACATGGCAAGAGCAAGAGTGCAGGTCCAAGGGACAAAATATTTTTAAAGAGGAACAGGATGGATTATAAAAGTAACATAGATGTGTGTATGGAAATGCATACTGTGCTGTCGGTCGTCTTGCTGATTTGTAGTTGGAGGGTTGTTGAGGGAGGTTTTGTCCCTCAGACTTCCCAGATTTTCCACAGTGGGTAAATGTTTTCTACCCAGACAGAAATTAGCATCCAGTTTTTTAAAAGAAGATGTCATCAGACATGATTACTGACCAGTTTTTAGGAAGCAAAATAGGAAAGTGTGTCACAGATCATTACAAAGCCCTCGGCATCCGTTTTCCGTGTGACAGTGCCAACCTTGTGGAAGTGTCCTCTTGTGTGAGATCAGACTGTGACAGGAATGGTGGAAAGAACAGGAGAGAGGTGGCCTCAAGGACCCAGTAGCAGTGGAAGCCCTTACAGTGGGACAGGGAAAGGGAGAGGGGAAACAACCCATACCCTTATCTGACGCAGAAGGGCCTTTTCTTGCGGGGACCTGGTCAGAACTCACTGAGCCTGGAAGGAATCAAGCTAGCTGCACAGAGGGCCATGGCACAGTGGAACAGGGCACAGTGGTCATCTGACGGGGAAGAGCTGTGTTGCCTGCAGGTCCAGGGGTGGCTCCTATAGGAGATGGCTGCTGAGGTCCAAGGGCACTTGGTAAAGAGGACCCTGGTGAACCTTCGGGGGCATCCTGGGACCCAAGGGGCCTGTGAGCTCTGAACCATGTCCTGGATGGGAGAGGTGGCCAGGAACACTCAGTCTCTCTAGGAGTCCCATGTGGGAGAGAGAGGTGAGCCCTGTGACATGTCCTGTTTTCTTGAGTTCCCAGTGTACCTCTGCAGCAGAGGCATGGCCAGTAGGTCTAGGGGGCCTGGGTCTAGGCCACCTGTGCTAGCAGTCCCCTGCACAGCATCATCCTCTGAGACTCAGTTCCTCAGTGTGCAAAAGGGGTGTGCACCATGCACACTTAGTATGCAGGTGGAGCTGCTCCATGGACGAACCAAGGTGGGGGCTTTTAATTAGGAGCTTCCCTTTTGACACCTCTTACCAGCAAGAAAACCACCTACGGACTCAGGCTGGGCAAGGGAAGGAAAATCTCCCCAAGTGGCAGTTCAGTCCTATGGGCAGACTGGGAAAAAAGCACTATCCTACGAGTGCCCAGGATGGCCTCTAAGAGGCACCGCCGGCAGTTGGCCCCGTGGCCAGCAAGTGTTGAGGTGGTTGGCTGAGGCAATTCCTGCTCCTTGGGAGATTTCCTGGTGGTCTCAGCCGGTGGAACCACCCACTGTCCTCAGGGACACATCAGGAAAGTGGATGGCTGGTGGCGACTGAGTACCATGCCTGCTACTCCTGAAACAGTTTCACAAGATGTGTGTTCCCTTCCTGGGATCGAAGAACTTGGTCAGTGCCCCAGGTTTGCCAGGGCTCAAGATGGCTCTGATCCCTGAAGCCTGCAGTATTTGGGGAGAATTAGGCCACGCTCTGGAGCACAGGTCCCCTCAGTTCCAGTGCAGCTGTGTGCACAGCTGAACGAGGGTGATTCACAGTGGGCCTTGCCATTTGCACACCGTTGAGCCTCCCAAAGCTATCACCTGGCAACCAAACCTCCAACAGGTGAGCCTGTGGGGGACCACTTTGGATCCAAGTCATAACACCTGTCCTTGGCCATGGCAGTCAAGGCTGGAAGCCCAGCCAGCTGCTTTTCCTTGGGGAGCTGAGAACCCCTGCCCACAGCTTCTCTGACCAGGGTCTTTATCTCCTCCAGAGCCAGGGCTGAGCTGTGGCCAAGTCTCTGCCTCACTGTGTCTGTCCTTCCCCCTGAAGCCTTCTCTACCCCTGTCCTGCCCAACAGACCAGATTCTGGGCTTCTCAGCACACAGAGGAGACTGGAGATGCCACACAGCACCCAGGTTTATGTGAGGTGGCTTTACCAAGCCACTGAGCCTCACTGATCTAGTTCTCAATGACCAGAATGGAAATCACGTGGATTTGTATTTCTCCTGCCTGCTTAGCTGTCAGAAGGCTGGGGATATGCAGGACAAACATGGTTCCTAGGGGCCTATCTAGGAAACCTACTCCTAGAGACATTTTTCAGAGAAAGATGGGTGGCTCGCAGAGAGTAAAAGACCTTTAAAAAGCTCAGCAGGAAGGATGTCCAGTGCCCAGTGGAATTCAGGTGGTGCTTCCTGCCTCAGGATGAGGGTGAAGCATCAGGAAGTGGCCAGACAAGCCATAGTGGGATTAGCTTCGCATCTGGATCTTGTGGGTACAGGTAAACACCACTGAAAAGTGTATCACCTGGGCCCTGCCACAGGTACAGCCTGCCAGAGTTCTGCAAACTTGAGATAGGAGGACGGGTGGAGAGCCCAGCTTCTGCTAAGACCAAGGTTCCTGAGGCCTCAACACAATTGCAAGCCAATATTTCTCTCAGCTTCTGTGCTCCCTAGGCTCACAGCGAAGACTTGGGGCTTCATGAATTCTAACTCTCAAATAGCAGTAACCTATTGTGTACCTAACAGACAATGCCTTGCCTAATCTTAGTGATCATGCAGTTGGTGACTCAAGCAGTGCCCTGGCTGCTTCTGCAGCCCCTCCCATGCTTCCTCTTCCTAGTGCTGTGACCTTGGGCAAGTGACTTCACCTCTGCAAGCCTCAGATGCCTTACCCATGAGACAGGAATAATAACAGTGCCTGCCTCACAGTGTTACACGGTTAAGTGTGCTAATAAGCAAATCCTGCTGAGAACATTGCCTGGCACCCATCATTCTATCACTACCATCCTTGATTTCATCATTTCACCACCACCATCATCACCACCACCACCACCACCATCATCTTGGGATCCCTGTGTAACTGGGAACTGGCTGCCAGTCAACATCCTAACTGGGGAAAACTTTCCTTGTACTCCTGGTCTGGGTGGGCCTCAGTTGCCTGCTAGCACCCTCCATGCCCAGATCCACCCTGAAGAGGCAGCAATCAGTGGGACCCCTAAGGACACATGGTGTTCAACTGTGGTCTCAGAACAACGCTAAGACCAGTGCCTGAGGCTCTGGAGTAGGACCCCTTGAGAAATCCGTGATTCCTAGCCTTTAACAGATAGCACTGCCCACACTGATTGCATTTGCTGGTCCAGAAAATTCACCTAAGAAAGCAGGGAAGGATCAGTCCATCTGGCTCCCATGACTGAGGCCCCTCACAACTCTGCTCTGATGTCAATCAACCCCTCCAGGCTGCCCATCACAGCCTCCCCAGCTCACAGCAACAGAAGGATGGCCACCACCCCGCCAGTGCTCCTGAGGGCTGACCGCCACATAGCTCCTGAGAGCAGGTCTGGCTTCCAGCATGGAGCTCAGGCAGGCCATTGGCTGGCCTAAGGGTGGACACTCAATCCCACCTCTAATGACAGGCCAGTGAGGTGGGACATGTGGCTCCCCCACCTCCTTGGTCTCAGTGTTCTCATCTAAAATGCTGTGAAGGTTGACTGTACCTTTCCACCAGGCTGGTTGGATTAGTGTACAAAAGCACTTAAGTAGTACATAGTAAGCAGGTGACAAGAGCCATCAGCTGTGATGTATGGGACAGCGAAAGCGCCTAGGAGAATACCACAAGGAGGAAGACAAGGGACCTTGGAGCTGGCAACCCACGAGACCCTCATGCCTAAGGACTTCATGGCCATTTGGCCTCACAGACACTGGCACAGCCCAGTGAGCATGAGCAGTGGGCTGAGGTGCCCAGCGGAGCTGCCTTTTAAGTAGGATCCCAGGGAGACCCAGGCTGAAGTGAGACGTCGACCAGGCCACAGAGACAACCAGCCATGTGTCTCCGTGGTCTTTCCGTGAGCAATTCCAGCAAGCCAGTATCTCTGCATCGCCAGATCCCTACGTGTTATGCTGGAACAGTGTCCACTTACAGGGCAGGCCTCACTGGAAGATGCAGTTGCAGGCTTTCCACAAATACCTGTTCTATCAACATCTACTAAGTACACAGCCATGGCTGCCATGTGAGACCATGATGGGAAGCAGGTGGCAGCACAGCCCCTTGCCCTGTCTGAGGAGTGACCATGGCTGCATACTGACCTGTCATTGCACTGTCCTGGGGTGACAAGTACTCACAAGGAGGCAGAGTGAAGGCTAGAGGACCAGCGCAGAAAAGAGAGGTTCCCCTCTGCTCCAGATGGCAGCAGCTCAGAATGGGAGTCCAGGTCAGAGTCAGAGGAGACGTCACAGAGGACATCACCACAGAACTCACCCTCAGACCCCACTTGTAAAAATCCTTGTAATGGCTGGGAAGGAGAGCTGCCCTGAAGGCTGCCTGTCACCAGTGCCCCAGTGACATTGCCCAGCTTAGGATGACACTTGAGTGCTGCTGCCACAGTTGGGAGCTTACTCAAGTCTGAGGTCCCAGCAATTTAGAAATGAGCACTGGCAGCATGGTTCTCTGGGCAGCGACTCATCCGCACACTGTGTTCCGGCTTGGGAATGGCAGCTGGCTAGAGTGAAGCATAGCAGGGCCTCTCAAGTGTGCCATAGTTTGTGGTAGGTAGGCATCAGTCTGGGGCCATCATGAAATGCATCACAAAGAGACCCTGGGGGACCAAGTACACGCTGTAGCGCCCCGTCACCTAAAGAGGAGCTGTTGACAGAAGGGGAGGGTCCTGGAGCAGCCATCCCAAGTTACTAGCAAGGCTCCACTGGACAATGGGCCCAAGATGGCCATCAAGAACACTTCTTTCTTGGCTGGAGGATGGAGGCCCTCACTCAGCAGTGGTGTGAAATACCAGCTGTGACAAGCGAAGATGCCCCCACACCACTCCCAGAGGCAGCATCCCAGAGCTGACTATAGACAACATAGGGAACATTTACTTGGGAAGGGCCTCATCTGACTCTGCACAGGAGGCTACATCACCATCTGGCCATGGGGTTGAACCGGCCATAGTGGAGGGGTGGAGCACGCTACAGGACTGGGCAGGATTCCACTTGGGGACACAGGAAGTGATTTCTAAGACAGGAAAGGATGAAGAGGAGAGGGAAAAGGGGTACCTCACTCCAAAGAGGTGGGGCAGGAATCTGCATGCTCCCCTGGAAAGGCTCATGCTGGGGCACGGGAGGGAGAAGAGCCAGACAGAACCCATGAGAAGGACACAGAGCATGGGCTGTTGGATGCTGTGCGGGTCACAGAGCCAGTCTACAGGGCAGCTGGAGCCAGCAAAGGAGTGTGTCCAGAGGAGAGGATACAGCAGACAGACTGACCCAGTGGTGTTCTGGTGAATGGGGTTCCTGCAGATGTCCGTAGGCCCGATGTGCAAGGTTGCACACAATTCTGGGTCTGTGCACACATCCAGTGTGGGCCTACTGTGACTGTATGGGCTGCCCAGCATTTTCCATCAAACATACCAGGCACACACTAGGGTACCTGGGAAAGGGTGATCTTGGATACAGACATGACAATGTACTCCCCAGAGACCTAGAGAATTTCCTGGAGGGCTCTGCTGGTGTGTATTCGCTGATCTGATGGCTCCAGAGTACCAAGAAGTACTTGCAGCTTGAGTGAGAAGCCTGCAAAGGGGAGGGAAGGGGCTGACCCACATTATCACAGGGCTGTCTGGTGTTTCAGGGATGTGGCTGAAACTTGCCCCTTTTCCTCCATAGCAGGGGACGTCTCTATGCCACCCTAGGGCCCAACTGGCGCGTTCCAGTTCGGAATTCTCCCAGAACCCGGAGCTGTGCTTACAGGTACTCATCTATTCCTCTGCTCATGTATTCAGCGAAAACCTTTAGGGTGCTTGTTGAGTTAAAAGTCTGTGTTAGAGGCTATAGAAGGAGACAGAGACAGCCTCTTCCTTTGTGATGCTACTGCCTCAGAGCAGAGGTGTGGGCCACTCTGGGCAACCTGAGTGAGTCATCAGGGCAGCCGAGACTGAGAGAATGATGGGAACTGGCTAGATACCAGCAGAGACGTGGAGGAGAGAAGAATGCACCCACCCATAGAAGGAGCACTGTGAGGCCCTGTGAAGCACGGGGAGCTGGGGACTGAAAGACAGGATGAGAGAAGGGAAGGGGCACATATGAGACGGATGGGGCCACATCCAGCAGGCACAAACATGGTGGCTTGCCCCTCAAAAGCAATGGGAGTGAGGGAAGGGGTCGGCTGTGGGAGGGGACAGTGTAGAGAGTGTAGCAAAGGGAGCGGGGCAGAGGCGGGGCCGAGAGCAGTCAGCCAAAGGAAGACGTGCTGGCCTCCGACGGGGAGGTGGGGCAGCTGGGATGGACAGCCAGGCATGGGGCCCAGAATCGGTGCACTCTGGGGACTGACTGCTTTGTGGGGCAGAGGTGCACAGTAGCAGGCCTGAGAAGGGGCCTCTGGTGCGAGTGAGCAGAAGCACACAGACCTGGCACTCAGGCAGGGCTGGCCTTGCCATGCACTGCTAAGTAATCCCCTGTGGATGGTGCCTGACCCTGGGGGAGAGAGAGAGAGAGAGAGAAAGGGGCCTGGAGGAAAAGGTGTGGGTGCTTCATGCCTCCCTCCTCTACTACCCCACTCACAGACACATGTGTCACCCCACTCCGAGGCTCTGACCAGCCCAAGGAGTAGGTTCAGAGGAAGCCATAAGTGTGTGTCCCAGGAGCAGCCAGGAGGAAGCTGGGATAGAGGTGTCTTCTGGACAGGGCAGCTGCTGCTAGGCTGCAAGCCGGGTTATAGGGCTTTGATCACCAAGTCTAGAGCTTACAGACGGAGGAGGTGGAAGTGCTCAGCTGCCAGGAGCCCTTCCTGCTCTGCAAGGACCTTGGCCTTCCCCTCCTTGGCCTTGCCCAGTACCAGGAGTTCACTTACCTAGGGGAATGCAGCCATGGACTCACTAGTGGGCTCCTAAGGACTCCAGTGGGTGAGAGGGTGCCAAGCTGCAGCTGCTCCGGGCAGTGTCTGACTGGTGGTCTCTCCTCAGCCCCTCCAGCCCATGCACCTGTACCCTGGGAAGCTCGGCAGCTGTGCCCACCATGGAGGGGCCTCTGAGAAGGAAAACCCTGCTCAAGGAAGGCCGGAAGCCCGCAGTAAGTCAGCACGCCTGATGGTGACAATGTGGGCCCCCTCTGAGAGCCTGTGTAAGAGCAGCAGCTGGGAGAACAGGGCCTTTGTTTCTATACTGTAACCTGGGACAGTGACCGGAGCCGCGGAAGACAGGAGGCCAAACTCGAGCAGGATCAGCTCTCAAACTTTATTACGTACAGCGAACCGGACCTAACAAGGTCCGCCACCCTCAACGTTGGTTCCTCTTCCGCCCGTTGGGGGCAGGAACAACCTCTTATAAGGGGAAGCAGTATCCAATCACAGAGAAGCGCGCCTAACAAGCTGATAGGCTAGCGTCACGGGTAACTGGGCAGATATGACAATTTGGCGGGCTTGTTCAGGCCGGGAAGAACCCGGAAGCAGGAAATGGGCGCCATCATAGGCGGCTTCCCACAGGACAGGACTGAGCCGCCTCCTGGAGGCCACATGTGGCAGTGCCTCCACTCAGGGAACACAAGCAATGACCTGGAGGGCAGTTGGAAAACTGGAGGAGAATTTTCAGGTCCTACCACCAGCTGAACTCACATTTCACCAACTCCATGACTCCACGTGACAATCTCAGCCCCTTGCATGACAAGTTGCCCCAGGCCATCTGTGAGCTGCATCTGCAGGCAGCATCTGTCCTGCTCTGGCCCCTGTCTCCCTGTCCACTGCCCACAGGGTGAGCTGGAGAGGCATCTCCTCCCAGTGCCCACCAAGAAAATGCCAAGGCCTGGCCCACCTACCACCTCCATGTGTTCCCAGAGCCCCTGTCTTGAGTTGCCAGTTGACTCTTGAGTGATGAGAGTCTCCCACCCAGATCAGGGGACACTCTGTCACTTAGTGACACCGAGTCCCAATGTATCCTACAGCCTTCTGCAGCATGGGGCTTGTGCCTGTCCTCTTCCACTGACCTGCCCACCTCTCATGGCCCAGAGTGCAGGCCCCAGTGATCCCAAGGCCAGAACCTAAAAGTGTCCTTAAGGCAGCGTTGTCCCAAATGCTAGCTGACTTGAAAGTAGGTAATGAAATCAGGTCAATGGGTCATGACCCATATTTTTTAGTACAGTAGAATGGAAAATTTTCACATGTAGTAGAGATAAATATCATTCCATGAACTCTGTCGCTTCATCGCATGCTTGGGTATCTGTATGCTGTATACCCTGTGGGTCTAAAACCCTTGCTTTCCCTGGTAGCACAAAGGAGCCCTGGGTGGCGATGCAGGGAGCCTGTGCCTTGAAGGCATATCCTTTTCCTGCCCAATGGGGCATTGGCTTTGCCTTTGCAAAACCAAAGCCCAGAACATGGTTTCCCATACCAATGGCCAGAACCTTGGGAATTCTTCCCTTTGCCCTGGAGCAACACAAGCCTGCCTATAGCTTGGCCCTACCAGAGTTCCCACCCCTTAACTCCATCTAGGGCAGCCTGCTGCAGGCATCAAGCTTCTAGACTGTAGCTTAGCACATCTGTATTTTAAGTGCTTTTCCCAGGATTTTCTTGGGCTCAGGTCACCTGACTATGTAGGAATTAGGCCTAAGCATTGGCTTCAACAAAGTGGTCTAAGAAGGAAGGACAACATGAAGAAGTGAGAGAGGCAGGAAGAAAAATCACCTCCTCAATTGTGGGGGGAGAGCCATTGCCAGGGGGGTGGCAAAGGCCAGGGGAGAGAAGAGACTTGAGCTGGCATTGCCAGTGGGTGGCTGCATCTGAAATCAGGATGCCAGGGGCTACCCTGTCCCTCGATGTCATCACTCTGCCTCCCCTTCCTGTGCAGCTGTCCTCTTGGACCAGGTACTGGGTCATACTCTCGGGATCCACCCTCCTGTATTACGGAGCCAAGTCCTTGCGGGGCACAGACAGAAAACATGTAAGTGCCATGAAAAGACCCCCATACTGGAACTTCACCTGGGGAAAGGGCCTCAGGCAATGATAGGGCTGGGGGTGGGAAGGAAGCTCGCTTGGCCAAGTTGGCCTCCCCTGTGAACAGGAAGGCATGGGCCTGGGCCTCCCAGCTGTGTGTTGTTCTCCTCTAGTATAAATCTACACCTGGCAAGAAGGTCTCCATTGTGGGCTGGATGGTACAGCTGCCTGATGACCCTGAGCACCCGGATATCTTCCAGCTGAACAACCCCGACAAAGGTAGGCAGCAGGTCGGGCACCGGGCGCCAGGCTCCAGCAGCAATTTACCCCATCTCCTCTTCTGCCAAGCATCAGGGGCTTCGAGGCTGCTGCATCCATGTGCACTAGGTTTGGGTGTCGCTTGCTATGCCCTCACTAGGCCATGGACCATGACTGAGGTGTCCACTGAGCAGTATGTGGAATGTGTGCCTTACAGAGATCATTTTTGTGGCCTTGCTTTTAGTGCCTGAAATCCATCAGGAGCTATAGCCTCAGGGTGTGGGAACAAAGAACAATTCCAAATACAGCCAGAGCAAAGGGCCAGAAGGGTCCTGGATCCCGGGGCATTTTAGGGCCCCATGACATAACTTGTGCCGTGTCTGCTTCCAGGTCCAAGGCAAACTCAGAACTATGTAATTTCCAAAAACTCCAACCTACCTCTCCTGAGGAGCTTCCTAGTCCCTCCTGGTTCTACATCTCCTTCGTGGCCCTGCTGGGAAGAAAGAGAAGTTCTGAGCACCAAGTGACACACAGAGGCCATAGCTAGTCTCAGTAGCTATGCCACAGAACAAAAACCCAACACTGCTGAGTCTTGGATTCTAGCCAGGGCAACTCACTGCAGCTGAGTCCCTATGTATCTTTCCACATTAACAGGAATGTTCTAGTACAGGTTCGTGCACAGACAAGTTTCTGGGCAGCTTTCTGACATTCAGATTTGAAGCATAGAGATCTGGAGTGGAGACCCAAGATTCTGAAGGTTTGACAGGCTCCCTGTAGGCAGGGTCAGATGATGGTGCTGGCTAGGGGGCCACACTTTGAGGGCCAGATTGCCATGCACTCAGTTGAGAAGCAAAGAAACAAGGTGTACAGGAGCCTAGGAGCTGGGGAAGAGGTAGATGGCCACCCCTGTTGGAATGATCAAGCTCACATACGTCCCAAACACGTCCTCAGCTTGGTTACCACTTGGGTTGGTTTCATTAGGAAGCAAGAAGGCTTGGCCTACACAAGTGTGACTGAGACAACGTGGTCCCATGGACTGTGAGCCATGCCTGGGCCTGAGCCCAGAAGGAAACAGGATCCCTGAACAGAAGGAAATGTGACACAAGTGCTGGCCAGAGTCCATGTGTAGAAATCAAAGAGCTTGGATGAGGAGAGAAAAATCACATCTCTATCTGCAGTAACTTCTTACTCTTTTCGTCATGAGTACAGGTATCAGATGACAAATGTGTTAGCAATACCTAGGATTTCATCCCTGAGGGGCATCATGGATATTTGCCTGTTACACGTGGTTGTGGATATTTCAGAGCATCATGTATGTTCATCTCTCTTTGAAATCACAGAAGACATCAGACAGGCCACTAGATCCGGTTACTATCGTATCAGTATAGTAGCATGCATAGCATTCCAGTACTCAGCTGGTTTTTAGGTAGTTTCCTAACTGTGTTTCAGGATAATTGACTTTCTCTATATTTTATTTTATACGTTGAAAAATATTCTGAGAAGGAGTCTCAAGTTTCCAGACAACAAAGGCTCTGTAGCCCAAAACATGGTTAAAGCTCTAGTTCAGAGACAGCCAGGGAAGCATGGGAGCCACCTACCTGGCATTTCCAGCTCACCTGGGGCTGCTCCTGACCTGCCTTAGTTTAGTCATGCGCGCTCGTGTCTCCCTCCTGCACAGTCGCAGGCTGCTTCTTCGCAGGTGTGTGTGTGTGTGTGTGTGTGTGTGTGTGTGCGCGTCTGTGTGTGTGTCTGTGTGTGTCTGTGTGTTTATATTGGCTGATTAATACTGGAGATGTAAACCCAGGGCTTCACATATGCTAGGAGAAATTTTGTCCCACTGCCATGTGCCCTCTTCTTAACTAATGCTTTCTCTGCCCATCAGGCAATGTTTACAAGTTTCAGACTGGCTCCCGGTTCCATGCGATACTGTGGCACAAGCATTTGGGTGATGCGTGTAAAAGCAACAGGCCTCAGGTAAAGTCTCTTGCTAGAAATCCCCTCCCATTCCAGGGACTCAAGGTCCTTAGGAAACAGGCTCCCTTCTTCCCTCAGAGCCCATCAGCTCTGCTCCTGGGCACTTCTGTGGGTCAGCAGTTTCCTCTGAAGCAAGACACCCCTTGTACAGCCCAGGGCCAGAGCTGGAAAACTCTGGGTCTGGCTCCTGTGTCTTTTCTACTCAAGGAAATGTCACAAAAACACTAATGGGAATACAGGGAGGTGGTGAGGATCAGGTCCCAGCATCTATTGAAGTCATCCCCAAAAAGCTAATATTGCAGGTATATCCCAAACTGACTAAGGGACCTCCCAGCCCACCACCCTTGGAAATGATTGGCAGCTAATGTATTGAAGGCCAACCCAGTGCTGATGAATGGGGGACTCCAGCCCTGCGGGCTTGTATGGGTGTGGGCTCCCTCTGGGCTTGGGATCGCTTCTTCCTCACCCCTCTCCTCATCAGCCATGCTAGCCTCATGCTAAATACTTCACATGCAGGAACCAGCCTGGTCCTCCATCTGGGAGGTAAGGTTCTTTTACTATCTGCATGAGGACTCTGAGGCTCAGAAAGAGGCAGAGCCTCCTTCAAAGTCCCACAGTTAAGACAAAGTGGAGCTGCCTGACTCCTGGTCCTGACCTTGTTCCCCACACTCTGCTGCCCTTACTTCCCCCTTCAGTGGTGCCAGGGCCTGAGGAAGGCAACCCCGAAGGCCAGGCTGACTCCATGGACGTGGCTGTGCCCCCTCAGCACCAGATAGGGGCAGGCTGGAGCTTCCCCTCCCTGCAGCCAGCAGGCAGCACTGGTGTACCTGTCCCTAAGCACCCGTGAGGGATCCGAGGACATCAGGTCCCTCTCCTCAGCCTGTCTGGGAGAGAGCACAGGGCATGGGATAGATGGGGCCACTTGTAGAGGAAGGTCTGAGGGGGCCTCAGCACCAGGCACTGGGCCTGGAAAGACACAGACTTTACCTGCTGGTCACAACACATTCTGCCCTCTTGGCCTCTCGGAGCTTTTCTTGTAAATGGAGGGAGGTCACTAGTGGCAGGTCTTGGACTCTGTCCTCAGCTTGGGCTTGCTGAGGATTCTCAGTTGTAATGTAGATGAGGATGTGTGTGAGAAACTGGTCAAGATTATGGATGGTGGGGCTGGGGATTTAGCTCAGCGGCATAAGCGCCTGCCTTACAAGCAGGCAGTCGTGAGTTCGATCCCTGGTACCGATAAAAATGAAAAAGACCAAAAAAAAAAAAAAAAGATTATGGATGGTAAGAAGCTGGGGAACAAGTATAAAGTCCTCAAAAGACTGAAAAACAGGACAAGCCAAGTACGAGCATAAACTTGAGGTACCACAGAGGGGCCCAAACCAATAGTACTGAGTCCTCTGACTCCCTGTGACAGTGCTAGGAATGTCCCAGGTCCTCAGAGACTTAGCTAGAGGACAGTCACTGCAGCACTGTCCTGGACAGAACAGTGAATAATGGCACTGGTCAGCACTGGGTAGCCATAGGAAGCTGGCACAGCCCTGGGCGCAGCCCTATGATATTGGCAATTAAGAAAAGGGCACAGATATAAGGAGGGAAACTTCACTGGTATTAAAAAGCATAGACAGCCAGGCCCAGTGGTGCACACCTGTAATCCCAGCACTTGGGAGGATTGCTGCAAATTAGAGGCCACCTGGGGTACATGGTGAGTTCAAGGTCAGCCTAAACTACATAGCGAAACTTGATTTCAACTCACCTCAAGATACATATCCATACTACTGTATGTGTGTTTGTATAGGAATGTAAGCTTCCTATAGTAATATACAAGAAACTAATTCTGCAGTCTCTAGAATATATGCACATACACACATACTGATTTTAAGACTCTATGGGTCAAACCCAGGGCTTTGCACATGTTAAGCAAACACTGTACCACAGAGCCACACCCCTGGCCCAGCTCACACATTTGCTGTATATTAACATCATCACCATCTCTGTGACGGGAAGACTGGTGGCTCTGGTCAGCTGTCATCTCAAGGCAATCCATGGAACAAGGTATGGAGGCTTGAATAAGGCTGCCCACATCAGACGACATTAAGGGAGGGAGAACTGGACCCCAGTCCTCTGGAGCTGCCTTGGCCACAGCACCGATCCCCCAGGTGTGTCTTCACTCCCTCATGAGCTGTGAGTGCCTCTTTAAGAGCACACAGTTGGCCTCCAGAGGAGCCTCCGTGCAGGCCGCCAAGTGGTTGCAGACCTGCAGCAGCTGACAGCCCTTAAGGGGGTGGCCTGGGCAGGGTGGAGGAAGAGGCAGGACCTTGGTCTCATCCAGGAGCAGCCAGGGAAGCCCTGAGTGAGGACCTGTGTCCCTCTTCAGGCGAGCAGTCAGGGAGCAGAAGCCTGCACAGCAGGGAACGGGACCAGGTAAAACCAGTGTGGACCAGGTAAAACCAGAGGCCTCACGGATGGAATTTCACCTGTTGGCTAATGCAGTGTCTGAGGCAAACCCTGCCAATTTTTTAAAGGAATTTGTTCAATTTTTATGACAAGAGGAGGGACATGTTTTTCTACTTTGCTTCTTTTATTTCTAAGGTACTTTTAAAAAAAATTTTTTTGTACTGGCACTCGAACTCATGACCTCATGCTTGTCTAGCAGGTACTGTGCCTGACTATATCCTCAGATTTTTAATGTACTTTTCCTCAACTCATCCTCCTCTGTACTGTATGTAACAGTAAAAGGTTGGCAACAACCTAAATACTCAATAGCTACATGTTCCTGAGAGTCACTTGTGTCGGCACACATAGCTGTCAGTTCATTTATTTGTGCTGATCTTTCTTCATTTCTCCCACTAGTCATCCCAGGAATGATTTCCTGAATTTTGCTATCCTGACAGTGCTGCTGTGAACATTCTTAAAACTGTCTCCTGCTGCATGAAGATACATTTTTCCTAATTCATCATTTTGACCAGATTGGTATCAAGATGGGCTTATTTCTATGAAATCATTTCTACCCAAATTCCTTGGAAGTCTGAGGCTGGGTCCACACCTCACCTTGGTGGTGGTGGTCCCCCCAGCAGTCAGGGCTGGGGTCTTGTCCTGGAGCATAGTTATGGAGAAGTCGTAGGGTCTGTCACATCCATATATTTCCTCCTCCTTCTGGGTTCCCACTTGCCATCCTGGGCCATCCCCTAGTGACACAACCCCTCCTGCTGGTGTCCCCTCTGATGTCACACGTATGCCCTACTCCCATGAGGTTTGCTCTCTCCCCACCCTACGTGCAGTTTTACTTTGATGGAAGAATTGTGTTTATAAGCTTATGTTTATAAGCTTGGGATTCTCACCCCCCCCCATCTGTTAAACTCCTGGAGCCTCAGTTTCTCATCTGCCTAATGGCAGTGCCTCTAGTATCTGCCTCCTAGGCTGATGTGAAGATCAGGACACACTGCTCGTGATGTATTCAGAGTAGTGCTTGGTGCCAGGTTAACAAGTGGAAGCTATTATTACTGCCATGCTCTCTCCACACCTGACCTGCTCATTCGCAGCCTGACTAGGAAAGGCATGGTCCCCTCCCCTAGGATCCACCCTCTATCCTTTCCAAACACCAGAACTTTGACAAGAAGCTGAGTTTTCTCTTCTAGGTACCTGCAAACCTTATGTCGTTTGAATAAGTCTCTGCAGGACTTGGCATGACTGAAAAGGCTTCTGGGAGCCCGGGCTGGGCCTGGTGGAGAAGAGCAGCCCTGGGCACAGGCTGTGAGCCAGGATGCTGGGAGCTTTGCAGCCAGACTCAGGGGACATGGCCTTCAGCCTCACAGTCTCAGAGGGCTCCCCAGTGCAGGATCCACCTGTCAGTTCCCAGTGACTCTCATGACTCATTCTGCAGCACCACCTTGCAGGGCAGTGTTTGGACCACAGACTGCACACCCCTGCCCCTCTCTGGACCTCATCTGTCCACCAGCTGCTTCTGCAACTAGAGAGCATTTGGCCCACGTTGGGTTCTCCATCATTCCTGCTGCACACTGAGTGGACAGCATTAACCTGCAAGTGTGGCCAGACAACAGGGCCAGGCTGTGGAGCAGGCCTGTCACACCCCAAGTGCACGGGGCTGCTCACCTACCGGGCTGCCTCAGATTTTGTACACCCCCCCAAGTGTCCTCCACGTGTGTGTGCTGTACCTGTGTGCGTGCGAGCAAGTGTGAAACCTCCGAGAAACATGCATTTTGGCACAAGACTTGTGACATTACACTCTTCATTTGCTTTGAGGCCATGCTTGAACCTTCAGTGATAGCCCTGTCCACCAGGAAAGGTCAGAGTGGGAGCCCAGATGCCCCTGTGTTAAGGGTCCCTTGTGTTCTTTTACTGTAAACAAACAATGCCTTAAACCGTGTCTTGTTTTCTGTTCCTATGGGTGCTATTCATCTGGAAGGCCTGTTCCCTGGGCCCTGGTGCCCTTCCAGGCCTTGTTGCTGTCAGCCCTGCTGAGGCAGGATCTGGTTCCAGACTGCAGACTGGGCCACTGGCCTGCTTGCTTCCTCCATGCCCTCTCCTGGCAAAGCTGGGGCACTTCTCATTGCATCTGCTCCCACCATTCCCATGTGGGAAGTTGTGGCATGTTCTCCCAGCATCCTCAGAGCAGCTCAGAAGCTACCATGACAGTGATCAGCCACAGAAATCACACCAACCTCGCTGTGCAGGGCAGGCTTCCACTTCCCTCGATAATCTCATCCCTTTGCCTCCACCACCAGGGCGGGCCACTGGGGTTCCTGGTTACACTGAGAGCTGAGTGACACTGAGACCTTACACTCCCCTAGTCTTGCCTCCAAATGCAGTCACCAGCAAGTTCTCCAAGTCCCAGGGCACAACTGTTGATGACCAAGCGACAAGAAAGCCAAGCACTGGGGAGTGAACATCCAATCTCTACATATATGTAATGACTGTTTTCAGGAACAATGACCTTTATCTGTCATCTTCTGTCATGCTTTAAAAGGACTTTTTTTTTTTGCACAGGTAGTTTTTACTCACAGTGAATTGCTGTTTATCATCATAGCCTGCCTCTCCAACTTACCTCCCTACCCCATTTTCTTTGGATGTCCTAATCCTGAGAAGGAAACCCTTACACTGTTTTCTGAAAGAGACTGAATGTCTGGGCCTTTGTCCCTTTTGTGGTTTTAAAATTCACAGTAACCAAGCATCAAACTACCCTGAAGAGTGTTTTGGTAAGAAGCTGCAAAGCAACACCATCACTAATAAACTGTGACAGGTCAATTGAAAAACTACCAGAAGACCCATCACTGTATTTTGATCAAATGATGACAGCTTCTCTGAAAATTTAAATGAATTAATGACACAAATAGTTGTCATCAGGGTGGTGCTTTGTGGTTGAGCCTCACAGTGCTCAGAAGCTAACCCTCTTTTGAAGCAAAGACTGGACACTTTCATGCCAAGAGTAACTCCAGAAAGGAAAGTTAATGCTATCAAACCTTGACCACAGCTGCCTTGAGCACCCACCTGTACCTGAGTCCACATGCATGCACTCAATTCTACCAACAACTTCAAACTGACATCCAAGGCTGAGCAACAACGCCAGACACTGTGGACACCTCTGACCTGAACCAGGCAGCGCTCATGTGATAGCCAGTGTTAAACTGACCCTCCCTGTTAACTTCCAGAAAGTCTTAAGTGGACGAAAGTACAAGACTGGAATATCAGCCACTTATTTTCCTTGGGTTTCTCCACTCTTCTAACCCTGTCCTGGTTTTTCACACATGAAATATTACAGATGCTAATCCAAAAACCCCAGAATTTCAGGCTCCCCTAAACCAGATAATCTTCTACCCTTTCCAAGTTTTTCTTAACCTTCACAAACTTTTCTTCTGATCCTAATTTGAAAGAGCACAGTCCCACTCTTTTCAGTGTTTAGTCTTTTCATTAGTAGAGACTGATCCCACATCCCTTCCAGAAATTCTTACCTTGGACTCTTAAAGAATCTATTTGGACTTTGTTGGCAAAAGCCTTGTAAGAGAACTGTAAGAGCCCTGAACACCTCAGAAGACTTTTGTGGATGAAGCTGAATGATAACTGACTCCCCAACAGGGAATCAGGCCAACCCTGTGACTTCACTGCTTATGTTTTCCCAGTGCTGGCTTGTCCCACAAGCAGCAGGTGAGGAGGCCTGCAAGAGAGGGCAGTGGCCCAGGCACAGATCACAGAGCGGGGAGGCCCCAGGTGGATTCTCACCGTGGAGGGAAGTGTTTCTGTCTTTTGCTCTTTGACTGATCACAGTGCACAAATACATATGAATCTCGAAGGTACTGTGTCTTGCATGCATATACTGTCATTTTCTTTCAGTGAACAGATTGTGGTACCCCAAAAGGAGAGTTGTCAAATGCTGTCTACAAACTGAATTAGGTAACTGGCAGTACTGATGTCCCAAGAAGAGCCCATTCACTCACATTGTTCTGGGATACTTTATGCTCCTCTTAATTGAGCATATTTTGTACCCTAAGGTCAGCAAATATTGGAGTATTTTGTGGAGGACAGATTTGGTGGAGAGCCACAGTTGTTCGAAATGTATCCAACAGGAGCACAGCAGTCTTCCCTCCTCTGACAAGACACCCTTTCAAGCACCCAGTCAGATGGAGATGCGGAAGAGGTGAACCCTTGAAGGACTCGCTTATGAAAGAACCTACCCTGACTGCCAGCTTTCTAACGCATTTGATTTGATGATTCCTAAAGCATTTCTTTTTCTTACCAAGATGCCCTGTATTTTGTTAATCATGTGACTCCCACCTCCCAAACCCAAAAAGGTATATCATTGAGGATGCTGTTTTCAGATAAAAAGTAGTCTGTGAGGGTGGGCAGCCATCTGCAAGCCAAGCCCACTGTCTTAAAGCTCAGGTAGGATCCAGGGCTCTGCACCCACATTGCTGATGCTCGCAGCCACCAGGTGATCATTGCCAAAAAACACTTTTTTTTTTTTTTTTCAAAAAACACTTTTATGTGTGATGCCATAAATGACTTCAGTCAATCCCACACGACATTGGCCTATGGGATAATTTCGTGTTTAAAAAACAGTCCCTTTGAAATAATAGGTTCCCTGAGAAAATGCCCATTCATTCATTCAATCATTCATGTCTTCATCCTAATTTCTAGTAAGTGCTTCCCATGTGCCAGGATATAACCAGGATATAAATGATTGAAAACAAGAGATCGCTGCTCTTGTTAAACTGATTGATTAATAAACAAATAATCCCCACCCCAACATATCTCCTGATCAAGACTCTGCCCATCCCTTAGACCTGGGTACAAATCCGGTGCACAAACTCTTCCAGAAAGACTTCAAAGGGCCCACCAGACTGAACAGTCTTGCTTTTAAGTGCTGTTACTGTAGGACTAGCTGCTGTCTGTGTACTGGAGGCTGGTGGCTCAGAAGAGCCAAGCGCAAAGCTGTTGTAGAGTACATGGAGAACTCCAAAAAGGGACTGGAGAGTAGGGTCGGAGTGTTCACAGTATTTGCTTCATAGGCTTCTGTCTTTGACTTCAGTGTTACATTCAAGGACAGCATGAGCGACAGCTGCATTGTCTTGGGTGTTGAGAACTTGTTCGTGGACATTAGTCCACCTCATAGCCTGAGGCCACACCAGTGTGTTTAAACTATGGGCAACCTGCAAATCCCCACCCACTGCAGCAGCGCAACAGATCATCCATCAGTTTTACAACCATCAATTTCTATCCATTTCTGGATGATTGTGACCAGTAATGAAATAATCACAATTAATTTATTAATATAGTGTAATCTTTAATAAATTTCGTGCCAAAATGCATGGTTTTCCACTAAGCATTCAAAATGTTGTGTAGAGAGTAGTTTTCAATTTCTTATGTATCCATCCAAGTAAGTTGAAAATCAGTTTCTTCATTTTAGTTGGGTTCTTGTTAAATTTGTTGCATTCTCCTGGGCTGTTTTTTTCCAGCAGACCCTGCATGCAGTTGTGAAGGACTTTCTCTAATACTTGTGAATTGTCTCACCACAGTAACCACTGAACATCAGCCCTCCGTGGGATTCTTTAGATTTTTGGTGAAGTATTTTGTTACCTCAGTCTTGTATCAAGTTGCTGTATTTTTCAGCTTGTTACACTGATAATAATTGTTTCACTAATTAAATAATGTACAGACATCTTTGTTTACTTTGAAATTAAATGTGTTTTCCAATGAATGTCACTCAATTTATTAAAACCACAGCATTCACTTGGCAAACATTTACTGCGCTAGATACAGGCATGGAGGAGGCATGAGGCCCTCAGAGCTCAGCTGAGTAACCGGAAAGTGAATAACAGGAGCAAGCGCCCTCAGGAAACACAGGGACAGCACTGTGGCCACGCGAGGGGACAGAGGGGGGACCTGAGTGTCTTAGGGAGAGGAGTGTTTGAAGATTCAGTTCAGAGACTGCAGAACACCTAGAGCCTGGGGAGGTCGAGTTGAGGGTGCAGGGAGACAGAAACAAGCAGGATGCAGGTGGGGAGTAGCAGGCCATCTGTCATGGAGTAGGATGGGGGTTCATGAGCTCCAAATGTGAAAGGACATAGGAGCAAGAGTTTATGATGCCAAGCGAAAACACACTCCAGCTAACAAGAGGAAAAGGAGGATGATCTTAAAAGGGTTGGCTCATGGAAACCGGGGGTAAGAACCAAAGGAGATCCGAGGGACCGGAAGAAACAGAGAGCCCTCTACATCTTTCTCTCACTTGGCTCCCTGAGTCTCATTTCCAGGCATCCCCTTCATTCTCGCCGTAGACTGGCTTCTCTGCTTCAAAGTGCAACAGCAAAAAAGGCCAGGCTTTCTGCACAAGCATCTGAAAGTCACCGAGAGAGTGGGCACCAGGATGTTGACAGTAGGATCCTCTGGCCCTATCTTCCTCAGTCTTCCAGCCAGTGTCTTTCTGGGCTGCAGTGGTTGATTCTCTAAGCACGGGCTCCCACGAGCACACCTTTAGGGCTCTGCTCCACTGTCCCAGTCCCAAGCATAGTCACATTTCCAAGCTGTGACAAACCGCTTACTGAAGTGGTCCTAGCTGGCTTCCTTCTCATGACCTGAGTGGCACAGTTACCCAGATGTGTCCCTGTCCCCAGCGACTGTGCAGTGTTGCAGGGCTGAGACCTAATTCTGACCTGGAATCAGGTAAGATCTGCTACAAAGTTGGAAAGCTGTAAGTCAAAACCTGTATGCACAACTAGCAGCCTGCAAAGCTCCAATCCCTCAGCCTTGCTATAAACAGCCACCAGGAGACAGCATTACCTTTGGTTGCTAGATGGAGCGATCTTAAACTAGCACAGACTTCATGGTGGCACATTTGTTTAGCCAGGAGTGCTGGCCTCGTGCAAGCGCACGCGGACAGAGGTGGGAAAGAGAAGAGGCAAAGGCGGAGTCGGCGTTGTGCGTGGGACCGCTGGCGCGCAGAGGCGGGACCTGTCCCAAGGGGCTGTTGAAAGGACAAGCGGGAGAGCGGATCTACAGAACCCCCCCCCAACGTCCTGAGAGAAGAGGCGGGGCTCCAGGGTGGAGTCACGCCTGTGGGTGTGGCGTGTGAAGGCCCTCCCCGAAGGGGGCGGCGCTACGGTTGGAAGGGCCGGGAGGGACCGAGGTAAGGAGCTGAGGGAGCCTATCCGCGCTAAGACGGCCAGGGCCGCACACATCCTCAGTAGCTGAGGAGTTGGCGGGCCGGACCGTGGTCTATGTTGAGGGGCGAGGCCATGGGCCAGACAAAAGTGAAGCTGAGGTGGGCGCTTTGGAGGGCAGGCGGCAGGAACCCGGCGGGCTGGCGCGGGAGGGGCGAGACTGGATCTCGGGGCGTGTCGGGGGCGGGGCTTGGGGCAGAGGCCGCGGCGAGACTGGCGGGCTGGGATTCAGGGCGGGGAGGGGCGGGGCCTTGTTCCGACTGAGGGGCGTGGGAGCTGCTGGGTCCAGTTTGGGGCGGGATCTGGGCGGGGCCTGCGCCTTCGGAGAGACCAGAGGCCGGCTGAGTTGGAGTTTGGGGCGGGTTTGGGGCGGGTTTTGAGCTGGTTAAGGGCGGGGCCTAGGCCTGGCCGAGGGGCGCGGGGCGGGGCGTGGGCTGCGGCGCGCGAGCCGAGCGTCTGACCGAGCCCCGCCGAGGCCCGAGCCCACCCGAGTGCTCCCGAGCCCGCGGCCCCCGCCCGGGGCGATGGAGCGGGAGCCCGGCAGGGCGGCCGCTGCGCTCCTGCGGCAGAAGAGGGCGGCGCTGCGGCGCAGGGGGTGCAGCTTCGAGAGCTCCAGGTACCGCGGCCGGGGAGGGGTGCGACCGGGAGGGGCAGGAGTGAGGATACGGCCACGCGGAGGTGGCAGTCTGACGGTCCCGCACGTGGTGAGGCCGCTACGCAAGAGGGGCCGCCGAGGGGGAGGGGGCTGGGGTCCCAGCAGCGGCCACCCGAAGTCTCGGCCCGGGGGCAGGCCAGGTACGCGCGGCCCGGGGGTCTCGAGCCGGGGAGAACGTGCCCTGCCGGGTTCTTCTCAGGGCTCAAGGACAAGGTCGAGGGGGAAGCCCCTTAAGTCTCCCCTCCGCCCCACCCTTGCTCGCGCCCCGGGTGCCGCACACCTGCTGCCTCGGGTCCCGCCCATCGCTGCCCACCCCCTCCGTGTGGCGCCCCTGGGCCGCTCTAGGAGGACGTTTCCCTCAGCCAGGGTCGCCGACGCCTCTCGCGGCCCGTGCCCTCCTTCCTAGGAGCTCTCCTGGGCCACCAGGGCTCCCACTGTGCTGCCCGGCCTTGGACACGCCCTCCCTTTGCCGGCCGGCCTGGAACTTGGGTGCGTCCACCGGCTTCGGCTTCCCGGTCGCTCCTGTTGGCCTTACCTTTAGCACTCATCCCCTTCCTCGGGACCCAAACGGCCTACAGCCAGACTTCCTAACTGGAGGGGTCTCCTACAGCTGAGACAGTGCGCTCTACGCACTGTGGCGCACCCTTGAGGAGCTCTCCATCGCCCGCAGCAGTGGTGGGGACTGGGGTGGGGATGAGAATGATGAGGACTTGGGACTTCAGCCCCCAGTGAAGCAGAAAAGGTTCTCTTTTGCCTTAATACAAGGTGAGCTGAATGGGGCTCTTTTCCAACTTCAGTCCTGGGCATTCCTGCCCACCCTTGGAACTCAGCAGTTCTGATCTGAGTGCGGGAATGATGAGGACAGGGACCCCTGCTGCCCCAGACCAGGCTGAGGCTGCCCATCACAGACTTTTACAGTGTGCAGATGTGCCCATATCTGGCTGTGGTTGATTCCTCCCCTGTGCTGCTTTGTATCAGCCCTTATTCCTGTCATGTAGGGTCCTGAGACTTTCTCTTTCAGTAGCATCTCCCACCCACTGAGCTCTGTGTATCTGGCAGCTCCTCCACATTTCACTGTGTGTAGTGACCTGGGTGATATGTCTCCCCTGCTAGGTGGGGAGAACTACAGACATAGTGCCTGTCTTCAGGGGTCTTACACTCCTGGGGCTGGTTCGTGAAGGATGAGAACAGGTATACTAAGAGATAAAGCTGAACAGACCAGCGGCTGGATCCCTCAGGCCCTAAGCAGTATTTAGGGTAGTGCTGTCCCGTGGAAGTATTCTGTAACCCACGCCATCTGATCCTGGAGTCCTTAGCACCTGTTGAAGTTGAACCCTTGTAATGTCGCTAGATCAGCAAAGGAACTGAATTTTAAAATATTATTTAGCTTTCAGTGTAATTAACTGTCTATAGCTGGTGTTTGCCATAGCGGGCAGTGACAGTTTAGAAAATGTGTCTTCCTCTGAATGCCCACTTGTCCCACCCTCTCCTTTGTCCGCCTGGCCTCTTGCCTGAAAGACTAAGTGACTTCTTGGCCTCCAAGGTATTGTTCTCCATTTGACACTCCATGATATCTTAACAAGCCTTAAGATAATAAGGATTGCCAGCTTTTCTAATCGTAAAAGTAATTTTGTGGGAAGAAGTTTGAAAACCTGAGAAAGACATAAAGGGGCTAATTACATTTTTTAGTGTCACATAATCGTCATCTGGTCTTTTTTTTTCCCTGCGAATGCATGTATTTACATAAACATTTTAAACTTGCTCTTTCATTTAATACATTCTAAGAGAATTAAATTGCTGTATGCAGTTTTGTCATATGGATGTATTATAAATGTTTCTCAAAAAGTCAGACCTAGCTGGAAAATAATCAGTCTTGAAAGCTAGCGATCAGAAATGCCAGCCCCAGTCAGCCAGTTTTGTCTTACCCACCTTACCGAGTAGCCACAGGCAGGAGTCCTTACCCACAGCTCCCAGTTATAGACCTCATGACAGGGCCTTTGAGAATCTGGCTTAACCACATTTACCTAGTCATCTTGTTGGCATTGGAGGAAAAATTTGTTCCTCTCAGTTGGGTAATTCTCTTGGCTAAATATCCTGTTCCAGCTCTGAGAACTGCCATGCAACAGGAGCAAATTAACGGATGCCAAAGAGCAAGGAATGACCCGAGCATTGGGCATCCAGGCAGATGGCAGGGAGAAAGGCGAGCAGGAAGGCCATCAGACAAGACACTTACGCTTTTAGACAACTTGCCCTGCGTTAACCATGACTGGGGAGGAAGGTGTAGCAGATGGTATTCAAGGAGAAGGGTTTAGAGTGAGCTAGACATGGGTTTAAGTTTCTGCATTTTCATGCATCACCATGTGAACACTTGGGCAAGTTGCTTAATCCCTCTGAGGGGTTCACTCATTTGTAAAATGACCTGTCTGGTAGTGATAGTGCAAGCTTTTCTGGTCATACTGCAGATAGATTCCAGGAATTTCATACTGAGGTACAGCCCCAGCTTTTTTTTTTTTAATTTTAATTTTAAAAAAAGACAGGATCCTACTAAGTGATCAAGTTGCCAAGGCTGGGCTCAAAGTCACAGTCTCCTTTCTTCACCCTCCCAGCATGCTGAGCTTAGGGGCATGTATGCACCATGCCTGGCTTGATGCAAGCTTTAAATGAACTAATTTATACAAAGGGCTAAACACAATGCTAGCCAGGTGTAAGTGGCCACATGCCTATAATCCCAGCACTTGGGAGGCTGAGGCAGGAGGATTGCTTCAAGTTTGAGGCCAGTTTGAACTAGTAAACCCCTGTCTCAAAAAGACAAAAAATGAAAGTAAAATAAACAGTGCTGTGCCAGGAATAAACAACTATTTCATACGAACTCGATATCCCAAGAAA